GATACTATTAGTGAACAGAGAAAGATCTACAATCACCTCTGTCAAACTCTGGATGCACCAGGTCGTCGCAGTCGAGTCAGACGGATCTGGACGAGACCCGGAGAGCCGGTCGATGGTGGGACGACTGGTAGGAGGAGCTGATGAAAATGTGTGTCGTGAAAACCTCTGTATGTCCAAAGACGCCCTTGTTGCTTTAAGTACAAAGACACACAATCCAATTCCACACACTTTTGCGTCACCGTCTGCAGCAGATTTACTCCTGAAAACGCTTGTCTAAACGCGGAATAAGAAGTGAAGACGCGACGCCACTTTTGTGTTTTCTGTTCAGACCGTCATTGTATAAACGTAACCTGAGTGTAGTTTGTTGTCCGTCAGGTTTCCGCACTCCTCTGGGTTTGTTGGTGGTGAGTGGACTTCACTGTCTCCCTCTGTGGCTCTACTGCGCTCAGCACAATCTGCTCCAGCCGCCGTCCTGGATCCAGCTCCAGATCACTGCTCTGCTCAGTCTGGGACGGACACTCGCCTTTACAGCCGAGGTAAAACATCAGACCTGCTTCAAAAAACAGGTTTAAGACAAACTGAGTTTTCACCTAAAACCTGAGTCCGTCACCATGGAAACTCACTCTGTACAGAACCTGGTCCAGGCCGAGTTTTATTCCTCTAACCCCGAGTTTAACCTGAAGAAGCGCTGTGCAATAATATCTAAATATCGATATATCGTATCGTTTAATGTGATGATACAGTATCGATATCGTGGGCTGTTGTATTGATATATCACAAGAGTATTTTTTTTACTAAATCATTTTGTTACAGCTACAGTTTTGTTGTTTGTTTAGTTGAAGGAAACTCGTTTATGCGACACATTTGACATTTTCACTGTTTTGATGATTAAAATGTTTGTGTTTCATATGAACTTTGCACAAGAAGAAGTGATTTAACAAAGACTTTTAGTGTCACAGACATGATTTAGACTTGATTTTTTATTAAACCATATTGAACTGAAAGCTCACAGTATCGAGATGTGTATCGTATCAGCAACTTCTTAATAATATCCAGCCCGAGTCACAGATGTTTCTAGGATCTGTTGATCAAATCTTGTTTCTTCTGTTAAACTCGAGGTTTATTCTCTTGAGTTTTCTAACCTTTTTAATGAAACAGAAAAATATGAGCTGTGAGGGGAGACAAACCCAGAGTTAATCTCCTCCTCCTCTGACCCTCTTCTCTCCTCTCTCCTCCTCTCCTCCTCTGACCCTCTCTTCTCCTCCTCCTCTGACCCTCTCTCCTCCTCTCCTCTCTCCTCCTCTGACCCTCTCTTCTCTCTCCTCTGACCCTCTCTCCTCTCTGACCTCTGACCTCTTCTCCTCCTCTGACCCTCTTCTCCTCCTCTGACCCTCTCTCCTCTGACCCTCTCCTCTCCTCTGACCCTCTCTCCTCCTCTGACCCTCTCCTCCTCTTCTCCTCCTCTGACCCTCTTCTCTCTCTCTCTGACCCTCTTCTCCTCCTCTGACCCTCTTCTCCTCCTCTGACCCTCTCTCTCCTCCTCTGACCCTCTCTCCTCCTCCTCTGACCCTCATCTCCTCCTCTGACCCTCTCTTCTCCTCCTCCTCTGACCCTCTCATCTCCCTCTCCTCTCTCTGACCCTCTCTTCTCCTCTCCTCCTCTGACCCTCTCTTTCTCCTCCTCTGACCCTCTCTCCTCCTCTGACCCTCTCTCCTCTCCTTGACCCTCTCTCTCCTCTGACCCTCTCTCTCCTCCTCTGACCCTCTTCTCCTCCTCTGACCCTCTCTTCTCCTCCTCTGACCCTCTTCTCCTCCTCTGACCCTCTCTCCTCCTCTGACCCTCTCTTCTCCTCTCCCTCTCTCCTCTCTGACCCTCTTCTCCTCCTCTGACCCTCTCTCCTCCTCTGACCCTCTTCATCTCCTCCTCTGACCCTCTCTCTCCTCTCTCTCCTGACCCTCTTCTCCTCCTCTGACCCTCTCTCTCCTCTCCTCTCTCCTCCTCTGACCCTCTCTTCTCCTCCTCTGACCCTCTCTCCTCCTCCTCCTCTCCTCCTCTGACCCTCTTCTCCTCCTCTCTGACCCTCTTCTCCCCCTCCCCTCTGACCCTCTCTCTCCTCCTCTGACCCTCATCTCCTCCTCTGACCCTCTCTTCTCCTCCTCTGACCCTCTTTTCTCTCCTCCTCTGACCCTCTTCTCCTCCTCTCCTCCTCCTCTGACCCTCTTCTTCTTCTCCTTCTCTGACCCTCTTCTCCTCCTCTGACCCTCTTTTCTCTCCTCCTCTGTCCCTCTTCTTCTTCTCCTCCTCCTCTGTCCCTCCTTCTCTGTCCCTCTTCTTCTCCTCCTCTGTCCCTCTTCTCCTCCTCCTCTCCTCCTCTCCTCCTCTGACCTTCTTCTTTTCTTCTTCCCTCAGGTCTGGTGCGTCTGGACTCATATAAAGTTTCTCACCAAAGACGAGAACGAGGAGAAGAAAAGTTGAAGTTCAAGTTGACGACGTTTGGATCATTTTCAATCCTATTTATGAATCATTCTGTTTCTTTGTTTTATTTTAAAGATATTTAAAAGGGAACAGGGTCAAACTGGGATTTTTCAGCTTTAATATGAGTTTAAAGATGCACTACGGAACTTTTCTGGTGGAGGGTCTGACACCTGCTCGTCTCTGGAGGCTGGAGTTTAATCCATCCGTCGTAAGAGTTCAATTTCACACTATGAAACATTCCAAGCAAAGTAATAACATCACCATGGAGACAAACAAGTGATGGACTCAGAGCCTCCATCAGAAAAGTTCCAGAGTGAAGCTTTAAGAACACTTGAACAGGGGCATTGCTGTGTATGAATGTATCCGAGTTGGCACTTTGCATTTGCACTTTTGAATGTGTTTCTCCAATAAATTATTTCACTTTTGGAAATTGTGCCGTTTTCTCTCTGATGTTTTAAAAATGTGGGGACTTGGGTTTTTCAAAAATAACAAAAAATCAGACACTAATCAAGATCAAAACTAATACCGAAACTAGATCATCCTCGTCGCAGGTATTGATACTAAAAAAAGTCTGACTGACAGGACAAAATGAAGCTTTCTTAAATGAACCTTTCTTAGAACGAATCAGAACAAATATAAGAGCACAGAGACTAAAATACACATGGACCTGGATTAGACCTGGTTTAGACCTGGTTTAGACCTGGTTTAGACCTGGTTTAGACCTGGTTTAGACCTGGTTTAGACCTGGTTTAGACCTGGTTTAGTCCTGGTTTAGACCTGGATTAGACTTGGTTTAGACCTGGTTTAGACCTGGTTTAGACCTGGTTTAGTCCTGGTTTAGACCTGGTTTAGACTGGTTTAGACTTGGTTTAGACCTGGTTTAGACCTGGTTTAGACCTGGTTTAGACCTGGTTTAGTCCTGGTTTAGACTCCTGGTTTAGACCTGGATTTAGACTTGGTTTAGACCTGGTTTAGACCTGGTTTTAGACCTGGTTTAGTCCTGGTTTAGTCCTGGTTTAGACCTGGATTAGACTTGGTTTAGACCTGGTTTAGACCTGGATTAGACCTGGTTTAGACCTGGTTTAGACTGGTTTAGACCTGGTTTAGACTCCTGGTTTAGACCTGGTTTAGACCTGGATTTAGACTTGGTTTAGACCTGGTTTAGACCTAGACCTGGTTTAGACCTGGTTTAGACCTGGATTAGATTTGGTTTAGACCTGGTTTAGACCTGGTTTAGACCTGGTTTAGACCTGGTTTAGACCTGGTTTAGACCTGGTTTAGTCCTGGTTTAGTCCTGGTTTAGTCCTGGTTTAGACCTGGTTTAGACCTGGTTTAGACTTGGTTTAGACCTGGTTTAGACCTGGTTTAGACCTGGTTTAGTCCTGGTTTAGACCTGGTTTAGACCTGGTTTAGACCTGGTTTAGACTTGTTTAGACCTGGTTTAGACCTGGTTTAGACCTGGATTAGACTTGGTTTAGACCTGGTTTAGACCTGGTTTAGTCCTGGTTTAGACCTGGTTTAGGTTTAGACCTTGGTTTAGACCTGGTTTAGACCTGGTTAGATTTGTTTTAGACCTGGTTTAGACCTGGTTTAGACCTGGTTTAGACTTGGTTTAGTCCTGGTTTAGACTTGGTTTAGTCCTGGTTTAGTCCTGTTTTCCTGGTTTAGACTTGGTTTAGACTGGTTTAGACTGGTTTAGACTGGTTTACCTGGTTTAGACCTGGTTTAACCTGGTTTAGACCTGGTTTTAGACCTGGTTTAGACCTGGTTTAGACCTGGTTTAGTCCTGGTTTAGTCCTGGTTTAGACCTGGTTTAGACCTGGTTTAGACCTGGTTTAGACCTGGTTTGGACCTGGTTTAGAGCTGGTTTAGTCCTGGTTTAGTCCTGGTTTAGACCTGGTTTGGACCTGGTTTAGTCCTGGATTAGACCTGGTTTGGACCTGGTTTAGACCTGGTTTGGACCTGGTTTAGACCTGGACCACTATGGACCCTACGTGGACCACTGAGGCTATGTTCACACTGAGCCGGTACGTCGAGAAACGAATATTTCTCTTCCTCCGTTTTCCTAAACAACATCGTGCACACAGCATCATTTTCAAAAAAGTTTTCGTTTCCATCGACCTGCAGAAATCGTCCATCGAGCGTCAGAACCTACACCAAGTCTCTGGGCGACACCTGGATTAGATTCAAACCTGTAGCGTTTATTTTATTACAGTTGTAAGTTTTATTCAAAAATACCTTGAAAAACAAAGTGCATTAGTGAACGGGCTCGCCTCTCCACAGATCTGCTCATGGACATGAAACATCAGCTCTGTGCAAATGAAACACATGAAAAGTGTTTCAGCAGAAGAAATGTGGCTGCTGCTCTGAATGTTTCATCAAAAGGGAAACGCTGGTCGTTCTTTTGGTGCAATCGATGTTTCTCAATGCTCCTAAAACTCAATTTATCTCACTTTACACGCAAACACCAAGCCAGAGTTTTAAACAATCTCCACTCCAGCTGGAATTTTTAGAAAAATTCATTTCAGAGGAGAATTCACTGTTTGCATGTTAAAGATGAGAACAAAAGGAAATGTCTCAGTTTTTAAAAACACCCATGTACGTGTAAACTGGACCTGAGGACCACAGATATAAGGACATATCCATTTTCTTCCTCTTATCCAGGGACTCCCAGACTTCCTTCACGCCAGACACTTCCTCCAGCTCCTCCAGCTGAACCCTGAGGAGTTCCCAGGCCAGTCCAGAGACATAGTCCCTCCAGGATCGGTGCAGCGGCGGCAGTGATGCGGTCGCTGTATCAGACCGTTGTGGTGAAGAGGGAGCTGAGCCCAAAGACAAAGCTCTCGATTTACCAGTCAATCTATGTTAATCCGTGTATCATTTGTTCATTCGTTTTTCAATATAAAACCAAAAATAAATGAAAAACAACACTGTTTTCTTCATTATTTGTCTCTAAAACCAAAATGAAAAAACAGATAATGATTCGTTTTTTCAGTTTTCGATTTTGTGTTTAAATGAAAAATGGAAAAAACGAATAACGACCATTTCCCGTTTACGTGACTTCAGTGACCAGAGCGGACCAGAGCTCGAAGCTGAGGCTCAGAGTCAAAGCTCGGAGTCCTGGTCCCGGCTCTGGTCCCGCTCTGGTCGCTCTGGTCCCGCTCTGGTCCCGGACCTGGATCAGTCCTGGTTCAGTCCAGCATCACAGTCACTGAAGTCACGTAAACGGGAAACGATCGTTATCCGTTTTTTCCATTTTTCATTTAAACACAAAATTGAAAACTGAAAAAAACGAATCATTATCTGTTTTTTTCATTTTCATGAAAAATGGAAAAACTGAGAAAGGCCGTTTCCCGTTTACGTGACTTAAACTGCCGAACTGAATCAGGACTAAACCATTTTCAGTCCTGGTCTGATGCCAATCCCAGTCCTGGTCTCAGTCCTGTTCTGGTCCTGGCCTGAGTCCCGGACCTGGTCTCAGTCCTGGTCTCAGTCCCGGTCTGAGTCCTGGTCCCGGTCTGAGTCCCGACCAGGTTCAGTCCTGGTTCGGGCCATTATCCTTTTTTTCCATTTTTCATTTAAACACAAAATCGAAAAAAAAGAAAAAAAATCTGTTTTTTCAGACAAATAATGAAGTTTTTTTTCCCCCCCATTTTATTTTTGGTTTTATTTTGAAAAACGAATAAACGAACGACACACGGATTGAGGTAAATAATTTTCATGTTTTTACGACAAAAAAAAATAAAAAAAAATCAAGTCCGGCACCTTTACAGAAAGCAGATCACACTTCACTTTTAGACACTCATTTAAAGCTGCACTGTGTAACTTTTCTGGTGGAGGCTCCGTCACCTGCTTGTTGCTATGGATACTTGATTGCTGTGCCCGGAATGTTCCGCAGTGTGACAAAAACACCTCGATAAAACACCCGGTTTGGTCTCCATGACGACAGAAACACTCCAGACACCAGAAAAAGAAAAACGGTGAAACGTGCAGAAGTTTCGTGACATGAAATAAGTTTATTGTTTTGCGGCAACAGTGAAGCAGTAACAGGACAACAGTGGTACTCCAGAGTTTGACACACGGCGAGAGCAAAGCACCGTCTCGCCTTTTCACCCGCCCAAAAAAAACCAAACAAACAAACTCAGATGCCCTTCCGCGATTACGCCGTAGAGACCCCGGAAACCTCGTCTCGGCGAAATGTTTTAAAGTGCGCATGACGGGTTTTTGTTTTTTTTAAACGCAGTCTAATTTTGACGGGATTTTACACCTGCTGGAAATTTAAGTTAAAGTTTTACACCAAACACGAAGCAAATTGTGAAGAAAAGTTGAAAAATCCGTTAAAAATGACAGAAAATAGAGAGAGTCCCACAATTTCTGAGAAGTTTTGGTCCATTTGTACGTTACTTTTTCAGATATTTTAAACACAAGTTCAGCTCAATAAAAGTGTTTTCTTATATTTTTGTTTGTCAAATTATAATTTCTGAAGAGTTTTGTCCCTTTTGTATGTTACGGTTGCTAGGAAACAGTTCTGGATGTACAATTTTAAACCTAAAAAAATGGCAAAAAATTTTTAAAAATATGAAAAAAATTGCCAAAAGTCCCACATTGATCGCACTTCACACTGGGAGACTTGCATTACAATTTACTTAAACACACCTTTTCTGATATTTTAAAAACAATTTCAACTAAATAAGTGTTTTCTTTTATTTTTGTTTGTCAAATTATAATTTCTGAAGATTTTTGGCCCATTTGTTCATTACGGTTGCTAGGAAACGGTTATGAAATTCCCAACTGCGATGATGACATGATTTTAAGTACAATTTAAAACCTAAAAAATGGCCAAAAAAACATGAAAAATATGAAAAAATAAATTACAGAAAACTGAGAAAGTCCCACATTGATCGCACTTCACACTGGGAGATTTGCATAATAATTTACATAAAAAAAAGCACTTTTTCTGATATTTTAAAACACGATTTCAGCTAAATAAAAGTGTTTTCTTAGATTTTTGTTTGCCAAATTATAATTTCTGAGGCCCATTTGTTCGTTACGTTTCCTAGGAAACTGTGACGGAACTCCCTAGTGAGACTTTAACCCTAAAAATCATCCAAAAAAAAATTTGAGAAAGTAGAAAGAGCCCCACACTGATCGCACGTTACACAAATCTTCACAGTTTAAAGATGATTTCAGCAAAATGAAACTGTTTTCTTATATTTTTGTTTGCCAAATTATAATTTCTGAAGAATTTTGTCCCATTTGTTTGTTACGGTTGCTACCAAACGGTTACGAAATTCCCTAGTGTGATGACGTCAAGATTTAAAGTACAATTTTAAACCTAAAAAACAGGCAAAAAAACATAAAAAATATGAAAAAAAATTACAGAAAGGTGAAAAAGTCCCACACTGATCTCACTTTATGTGACAATTTACAGAAACGCACTTTTTCTGATATTTTAAACACGATTTCAACAAAATGAAAGTGTTTTCTTATATTTTTGTTTGCCAAATTATAATTTCTGAGGCCAATTTGTACATTATGATTGCTACGAAACGGTTACGAAACTCCCTAGTGTGATTTTAAACCTAAAAAACTGTCAAAAAAAACTTGAAAAATATGAAAAAAAAAGATAGAAAGCTGAGAGTCCCACACTGATCCCACTTCACACTGGGAGATTTGCGTAACAATTTACAGAAACTCACTTTGATACTTTAAAACACAATTTCAACTAAATAAAACAGTTTTCTTATATTTTTATTTGCCAAATTATAATTTCTGAGGCACATCTGTTCATTACGAAACTCCCTAGTGTGATGACGTCATGATTAAAATTTTAAACCTAAAAAAACAAACAAAAAAAAAAACATGGGATTTTTTTTAGTTTAGCAACATCTTAAAGGACCTGGACCTGTTTTCAAAACCATAAAAAACAAAAACAGCGATTTAAATTTGTGTTTTTAGTAAAATTCGTGTCGTACAGTGTGTACTCTTCAGGGCTGTTAACGTCACTTTACTCTCTATTTCCTGTAAATTTCCACGTATTTTTCAACTTTTCTTCACAATTTGCTTCTCGACTGGTGCAAAACTACAATTATATTTTCAAAAACAAATGTTATCCACAAAATTAAATCAAAATTAGACTGGTAAAATCCGCCGTACGCACTTTCAGAGGCAGGTTGTCGTCGTCGTACGAGGAGGCGGCTGTGACTTGGTTTTTGGAGCTTACATGGACATTTTTCGTCTATTTTCTCTTTTAAAGCTGCACTCTGTAACTTTTCTGGTGAAGGCTACGCTCTTCCTCGTTTACACAGAGGCTGCCTGAAATGTTCCGCAGTGTGGCATTAAGTTTATCTCGCTTTATTCGACGGCAGTACAGGTGTTTTTGACGTCTTGAAAAGCAGAAAAAGGTTCAATTGTGCGAGTGGGCTCGCCTCTCCGTAGATTTTAAATGTAACGTGTTTGTTTCCGTGGAGAAGTGTAATGCCGTACTGTGGGACATTCCAGGAAGTTGACGAGGAGAGAAGTTGGCGGAAACATCTAGAAAAACGTCAGAAAATTTGCATCGTGCGGCTTTAAAACTTCCGGCAGTTTGGGATTTGAGTCAGATTCCCTGGTTTAATTTTTTTGGTCTTTGTTTAGTCCTGGTTTAGTTCTAGCTTAGTCCTTTGTCCTGGTTTAATACTGGGTTAGACCTGGTTTTAGTCCTGGTTAAGACCTGGTTTAGTCCTGATTTTAATCCTGGTTAGGTCTTCATTCAGTCCTGGTTTAGAACTGGTTTAGTCCTGGCTCAGTGATTCTCAGACCTGGTTTAGACCTGGTTTAGACCTGGTTTAGACCTGGTTTAGACCTGGTTCCATCCTGTTTTAGTCGTAGTTCAAACCTAATTTTAGTCCTGGTTAAGACCTGGCGTAGACCTGGTTTAGTCCTGGCTCAGTGATTCTCAGACCTGGTTCAATCTTGGTTTAGACATAATTTAATCTGAATTAAGACCTAGTTTAGTCTTTATTCAGTCCTGGTTTAGACCTGGTTTAGACCTGGTTTAGACCTGGTTCAAACATGATTTTAGTCCTGGTTTAGAACTGGTTTAGACCTGGTTCCGTCTCATTTTAGACCTGATTCAGACGTAATTTTAGTCCTGGTTAGGTCTTTATTCAGTCCTGGTTTAGTCCTGGTTTAGTCCTGGCTCAGTTCTCAGGTTCAATTTTGGTTTAGACCTAGTTTAGTCTTTATTCAGTCCTGGTTTAGTCCTGATTTTAGTCCTGGTTTAAATCTGGTTTAAATCTGGTTTGGTCTTGGCTCAGTGATTCTCAGACCTGGTTCAGTCTTGGTTTAGACCTAGTTTAGTCTTGTTTTAGTCCTGATTTAGACCTGGTTCAGACCTGACTTTAGTCCTATTTTAAGCCTGTTTTAGTCCTGTTTTAGTCCAGGTTCAGACCTGACTTTAGTCCTTTTTTAAGCCTGTTTTAGTCCTGTTTTAGTCCAGGTTCAGACCTGGTTCAGACCTGACTTTAGTCCTTTTTTAAGCCTGTTTTAGTCCTGGTTCAGACCTGGTTCAGACCTGGTTCAGACCTGACTTTAGTCCTATTTTAGACCCGGTTAAGACCTGGTTCAGACCTGACTTTAGTCCTATTTTAAGCCTGTTTTAGTCCTGGTTCAGACCTGACTTTAGTCCTGTTTTAGTCCTGGTTCAGACCTGGTTCAGACCTGACTTTAGTCCTTTTTTTAGTCCTGGTTCAGACCTGACTTTAGTCCTGGTTCAGACCTGACTTTAGTCCTGGTTCAGACCTGTTTAGTCCTGGTTCAGACCTGAGAGTCCTTTTTTTAGTCCTGTTTTAGTCCTGGTTCAGACCTGACTTTAGTCCTTTTAGTCTTTATTCAGTCCTGGTTCTGTCCTGTTTTAGTCCTGTTTTAGTCCTGGTTCAGACCTGGTTCAGTCCTGGTTCAGACCTGACTTTAGTCCTTTTTTTAGTCCTGTTTTAGTCCTGGTTCAGACCTGACTTTAGTCCTGGTTTAGTCTTTATTCAGTCCTGGTTCTGTCCTGTTTTAGTCCTGGTTTAGTCCTTCCCAGACGTTGTGTTGTGTCAGATGCCCTCCCGGAGAGACTGGACCTTGTAACAAACAGAAACCCTCGAAGAAAAAACATTTGCAGATTTAATTTTTGTCGATTTCCGATAAAACTACCAGAGAAAATATTGGCCCAAACGGCCGTGTAAGCGCCGCCACAGCCCAGGGCCTTTCCGTTTGTGTAAAATCGTTGATATTTGATAAAAACATTCGTTAAAAACAACATTATCGAGAGTCCTTTTTAAGAATCTAAGGCAGGACTCTCGGGGTTTTGGGCCATTCAAAGTTTCGTGTGAAAAAGGGAGAAGATCCAGTAAAAGCACGAAGCGACAGCAAGGCAAAGCATCATTCAAAAAACAGGCTCAAGATCAAATCACCAGCTCCAAATTTTGGAAACGACGAAAGACCAAAATCTCACCAGACGTTTGGAAAATACAAGATGTGTTCGGTCGAAACGTAAAGAAAAAGAATTTAGGATCTTCAATAGTTTAAGACAGAAGTTACATGATTCTCAAATGGAGGGACAGAACCTGGTTTAGTCCTGGTTTAGTCCTGGTTTAGTTCCTGTAAATTGCTGATCTAGTCCAGGTAAAAATCTTGATACCTGGCCGAGTCCTTGGCGAGTCCTTGGCCGAGTCCTTGGCCGAGTCCTGGCCTGAGTCCTGGTTTAGTCCTTGGCTGAGTCCTTGGCTGAGTCCTTGGCTGAGTCCTTGGCTGAGTCCTGGTTTAGTCCTGGTTTAGTCCTTGGCTGAGTCCTGGGCCTGAGTCCTGGGCCTGAGTCCTGGGCCTGAGTCCTGGGCCGAGTCCTGGGCCGAGTCCTGGGCCGAGTCCTGGCCGAGTCCTTAGTCCTTAGTCCTGGCTTGAGTCCTTGGCTGAGTCCTAGGTGAGTCCTAGGCTGAGTCCTAGGCTGAGTCCTAGGCTGAGTCCTGGTCCTTAGTCCTTGGCTGAGTCCTTGGCTGAGTCCTTGGCTGAGTCCTTGGCTGAGTCCTGGTTTAGACCTGGTTTAGACCTGTTTAGTTCCTGGGCTGAGTCCTGGTTCAGTTCAAATTTAGGGTTCAGTCTTGGTTCAGACCTGGTTCAAACCTGGTTCAGACCTGGTTCAGACCTGGTTCAGACCTGGTTCAGACCTGGTTCAGACCTGTTAGTTGTTCGGTAAAAGTCCTGGTGAGATTTTGGACTCTGGTGTTTGTGTTTTTCGTTCACACGTCGGTCGATGGAGTGATCGTTTAAATCGAAAAGGCTCACGCAGCTTCAGAGAAAATCGGACCAGAGACCGAAGACCGAAGACCGAAGACCAGAGACCAAAGACCAGACAAAACATTATGACCACTCAGATCCTCACAGAGTCTGGATCTTTAATACTCAAAGTCTGTGCCGCACAAGCAGGAAAATGAGACCTGGGTTAGTCCTGATCTAGTCCTATGTAGATCTTGAGTCCTGGATCAGTCCTGTGTTAAAACTGGGTTAGAGCCAAGTAAGTCCTGGTTTAGTCCTAGCCTAGTCCTTTGTCCTGGTTTAATACTGGGTTAGACCTGGTGTTAGACCTGGTGTTAGACCTGGTGTTAGACCTGGTGTTAGACCTGGTGTTTAGTCCTGACTCAGTGATTCTCAGACCTGGTTTAGTTCTGGTTCAGACCTGATTTTAGTCATGGTTTAGTCTTTATTCAGTCTTGGTTTGGACCTCTTTTAGACCTAATTTAGACCAAGTTTAGACCTGTTTTAGACTCTTTCATTCCATTTTAATCCGGGATCTGACCTGTTTTAGTCTCGGTTTAGTTCTTATTCAGTTTAGACCAAGTTTAGACCAAGTTTAGACCTGTTTTAGTCACTGTTTAGACCTGGTTTAGATGCAGTTCAGTTCTATTTTTTACTCCTGGATCTGTCCAGTTTAGTTTTATAGTTCTGGTTTAGTTCTTATTCAGAACTGGTTTAGACCTGGTTCAGACCTGATTTTAGATCTGGTTTAGTACTGGTTTAGATGTGGTTTAGATCTAGTTTAAGACTTGGTTTAGACCTAGTTCAGGCCTGGTTTTTGTCCTGGTTTAGTCTTTATTCAGTCCTTGTTTAGACCTGATTTGGACCATGTTTAGACCTGGTTCAGACGTGGGTCAGACCTGGTTTAGACCTGATTTTAGTCATGGTTTAGTCTTTATTCAGACCTGGTTTACACCTAGTTTAGACTTGGTTTAGACCTGGTTCAGACCTGTTTTTTGTCCAAATTTAGTCCTCGTTCTGACCTGGTTTAGTTGTTATTCAGTCTTTGTTTAGACCTGATTTGAACCTTGTTTAGACCTGTTTTAGTCCTAGTTTAGTCCTCATTCAGAGCTGATTTTAGTCCTGGGTCAGAATTGTTTTTGTCCTGGTTTAGTCTTTATACAGTCCTTTTTTAGACCTAATTTAGTGCTGGTTTAGTCCTCGTTTAGTCCTGGTTCAGACTTGGTTTAGTTGTTATTCAGTCCTTGTTTAGACCTGGTTTAGACCTAGTTTTTGTCCTGGTTTAGTTTTTATTGAGTCCTTGTTTAGACCTGGTTTGAGTCCTGGTTCAGACCTGTTTTAGTCCATCTCCGGTGGTCATAATGTTGTGTCTGATCCTCGTGTTCTCCGTCCGTCTCCGCTCTCATCACATCTTAAACACTTAAAACTCTTTTTTTTTCGATCCCCGTTTCGTCGGGTGATAAAAGCGCGGGCTACGTCGGACATACACATCTTTGCATATAAATTATTGGCGTTTTTATTGTGTCTGTGTCAGTTCAGCGCTGGAAAAAACATGAAAAAACTCGTGTAACAACTCACCATTTTTATGACATTCCTTTTTCAGAGTCTCAAATCCACCGAAAAAATTTGCAAAAAGCAGTTTTCTAGTCCGTTTTTTGTTTTTGCAAAGAAATATTAATCCAAAGGTACAATCTGTGTTTTAAATGTACAGATCTTCGTTTTTTTTCTTTAACGAGATCGTGTAGTTTCGTAGTCATGGCAACGGAAAGCTACGCAAAGAAATTGTAGTTCGTCCAAAAAAAGTTGTAGTTTTTTGTTTTTTTTGTTAAATTTCTTCACTGTTGTTTCGTCCCGTCGGAGTTGCCGTCCGTAGCTGCTTGAGGCTAAAATGTCTGGGGATGGAGTTAAGAGAGAGCGTCGTTTCTGCCGCAGGAGTTGAGCTGTGGACTCGTCGAGCTGGTTTGTGGTTCGAGTCCCTTGGATTCCAGAACCGAAACACGACAGAAACAAAAAAAACGGCACAAAAGCCTCGTCTCCGTCTGTGTGAAAACAGAGTGTGAACAGAAAAATCTAAAATCATTTCACAGGCCATTAATTTATTTAATAAGACCTGGATCAGACCTGGTTTTAGACCTGGTTAAGTTCTTTTTTAGACCTGGTTTAAGACCAGATTTTAGTCCTGGTTTAGTTCTGGTTTAGACATGGCATTCAACCTGGTTTTCGATCTGGTTTTAGATGTAGTTCAGACCTCGTTTTAGTCCTCGTTCAATTGTGGTTCAGACCTGGTTTTAGTTCTGGTTTAGTCCTGGTTTAGACTTGGTTCAGATCTGGTTTAGTCCTGGATCAGACCTGGTTTTAATCCTGGTTCGAGACCTGGTTCGAGACCTGGTTCGGTCCTGGATCAGACCTGGTTTAGACCTGGTTTTGGACCTGGTATAGACCGGGTTTTAGTCCTGGTTCAGAACTGGATCAGACTTGTTTTAGACCTGGTTTTAGACCTGATTTTAGACATGATTTTAGACATGATTTCAGACCTGCCTTAGTCCTGGATCAGACCTGGTTTAGTTCTGGATCAGACTTGGTTTGACACCTGGTTTGAACCTGGTTTAGTCCTGGTTTAGACATAGTTTAGACCTAGTTTTAGTCCTGGTTTAGACCTGGTTCAGACCTGGTTTTACTCCTGGTTTTAGTCCTCGATCAGACCTGGTTTTGACCTGGCTTTAGACCTGGATCAAACCTGGTTTAGTCCGGGTTCAGACATAGTTCAGATCTGATTCAGACCTGGTTTTAAGTCCTGATTTTAGTCCTGTTTTAGTCCATCTTCTGCACTATTCCACCGGTGGTCATAATGTTCTGGCTGATTTTCTCCCGTAGAGATAAAAATAATAATGTAATGCGACTCGGCGGAACATTCCAGACAATGAATAATTTAGCACCACTTTCTGAAGAGAATGTGAAATAAAACATGTGACTTTTGTTGAAGAGGCTGAACTTTGTGCCAGTTTTTTGTTTTCTGTGAATATTTTCCGGAATTACAGAGAAACACGAACCACAAACCAGGTCAAAACATCTGAAATCTGACTTTTACACAGCGAAACTCCACCGTAAAACTATCGGGAGTTTTTAATTTTGCATTGTCACGTGAACGCAACTTCGTGTACTTTTACCATCTTTGTGAATCCTCCAAAGTGTCGTCTTCCACCCAAACATTTTCAAACACAAATCCAGCGTTTATTTTTTTGTTTTGTCTTTATTTCTTCATGTAAATTCCCTCTTTTTCGTGGAGTTTTTTTTTTTTTTTTTTAAGTTTACGCGAGGCAGGGTCGAGTGGGGCCGTGGGTCTGGGCCAGTAGAAAGGCCTGGACCACCTCCTGCGTCTGCTGCGGCGTGTTGTTGACGTCTTCGAGCGCGTCGGCCACGGCGAATTGTCTGTCTCTGAGGCGGTTCCAGTTGGACAGGACGTTGTGATACTCGAAAACCTTCTCGAAGTTTCCCACCGAGTTGTAGAGTTTGATGAGGCCCCTGTAGTCGTACTCCAGACCGCTGTAGCCCTCCCCGAACAACTTCTTCCCTGTGAAAAAAAACAAAACAAAAAACAAAACAGAAGGTTTATTTACAGGTGACGACACGCTGGGGGTGGAATGTTCAGCGGTTGCCATGGAGACACAGTGCATGGATTCACAAACATGGTCAATAAAGTTTTAAGATCATCTGAAAACTCAAAAAATACAAAATAAAAGTGATGGTCTCTGTTTGCAACTGATTAATATTTGTGATTGAAATGAAATGTATTAAAGTAACTCTCAGTGGCCACATTTCCATGAGAGCTTTAATTCTGAATAAAAAATAATTACCGTGTGTGTGTGTGTGTGTGTGTGTCTATCCGCCCGCGATAATTCTGCCATTTATGGACCGACTGTTACCAAATTTGGTACGTGGGTCAAGCCCTCGTGTCCGATGCCGCAAAAAAAGTTTGGTGATGATCCGAGGTCATTTGAGGTCACACGGGTCAATTGAAAGGCCACATCGTTATAAAGGATCGGCAATTTTGGCAATTTCTGAACCATCTGCGGCCTAAAATATTCACCCAATCATCACACAAGTTGGTGCACACATAACCGGGCACACTGGATGTTACAGGTTGAAAACGGTCAAGGTCACATATGTGTTTTTGGTCATAACTCCGTGAAGGATCGAGCTCGAGCGACGGGAGTGGTCTCAAAATCTCAGAAAAATTATTATCTACTTATAATTCTATGCATTTCTATAGTAAAATATTAATAGTTTTGGAGATAATCACTAATTCTAACAGTTCCTTTCTCTTTCAGTGTTGCCGTTAAAATTCAAATTGGAACAAAAATCATTTCCATTTCTTGTTTTTCTGGTGACACACAACACACTGATCTACAGTCACACAACTAACAGATACGGAACTTAAACACTAGTAAACACAGACATTCTCATGTGTGACCAACATCACACTAATGTTCATGGGCCTGTACACATACACACATTACATTGTGGATATAATGATCATGTGATATGGGCTGGGCTCCTCATAAACTGCTTCTGTGATGATGAACTGACCCACCGACGCCTCATGGGGACCAGGTTTATATCTCTGATTGAGCTTGTTTGAAGGAATACATTTAAATCAATCAAAAATGAAAGTAAGAAAACCAGCCTCTTTTTCATGTTGTTCTTTAAGTGTGTTATGTTTGGTTCTGGCTACAGAAGTAGAAGCAACTAAAATTGTTCTCACTCGCTCTTTTTTTAACTTTTGTATCTACATGAATTTTTCCGTGGATGTGAAATCAAAATAAAATGGAAGTTGTTTAGTTTTAAGAGTAGAGTTTTGGTTTTTGAGTGTGTTGTGTACCGATGGCGATGGAGCGCAGGTAGAGTCTCTCGGCGTCCTCGTACTGGTTCATGTCGTAGTTGTAGAGAGACGCCAGGTGCCCCACAGACAGGGCCACCTCATAATCCTCGTGCCCCAACAGCTGCTCCTTTATCTGGATCGCCTTTATGTGCATCTCCTCCGCCTCCTGGAAGACACACACAGCAGGGTTCAGACCGGGTTCAGACCGGGTTCAGACCGGGTTCAGACCGGGTTCAGACCGGGTTCAGAGCAGGCTTAGCTTGGGTTTAGATAGTTTTTAAATCCAGGTTTTACGTTCCCAGGTTACAGTCCAGGTCAGAGTCCAGGTCAGAGTCCAGGTCAGAGTCCCGGTCAGAGTCCCGGTCAGAGTCCCGGTCAGAGTCCAGGTCAGAGTCCCGGTCAGAGTCCAGTCTAGTCTCTCTCGTCTAGTCCCGCTGGTCTAGTCCCGCTGGTCTAGTCCCGCTGGTCTAGTCCCGCTGGTCTAGTCCCGCTGGTCTAGTCCCCGGTCTTGACCAGTGATGGTCAAGTCCCTAGTCTAGGTTCCCTCGTCTAGTCCCTAGCGCAGTACCTGAGTTAGTTTTTGGTTCAGTTCTAGTCTAATCCAAGTCTAGTCCTAAATTGTCATAGTGGTTTTAATTCCTGGTTTAAAACTAGTCCCTCGTCTAGTCCCTAGTCTAGTCTCTCCAGTCCAGTTCCAGGTGTAGTTCCTGGTCTAGTCCCCGGTTCAGTCCTGGTTCTGACCTTGAACTTCCTCATAGACTGGTAGAGACATACTAAGTTGCCGTAGTGGTTTTAGTCCGCGCTTTTAGTCCGCATTTTAGTCCGCATTTTAGTCCGCATTTTAGTCCGCATTTTAGTCCGCGCTCCAGTCCGCGCTCCAGTCCCAGTCCTGACCTTAAACTTCCTCATAGACTAGTAGGGTCGTTTTAACATATCATAGTGGTTCTGTTTTAGTCCCCGGTCTAGTCCCGGTCCAGTCTCCAGTCCAGGTCCTGACCTTAAACTTCCTCATGGACTGGTAGAGCCGTCCCAAGTTGCCGTAGTGTTTGGCGGTCTGGACGTTGAACTCTCCGAAGGCCTTCTTGGCGAGCTGCAGCGAGGACAGGTGCAGGTCGTGGGCTTCCTGCAGGAGGCGCTCTTCTGTCTCTTTGTTGTGGCAGTCGATGGCGATTTCCTCCAGAATCAGAGCTGCAAAAATAAATAAATTAAATTAAATAAAAATACGGGCAGGTTAAATTTAAACTGATCTAAACCAGACTCTGAACCGTCCTCATTTGAAATAGTTTTTTTCAATATATTTAAAGCTGCACTGTGTAACTTTTCGGGTTGGGGGTCCGTCACCTGCTTGTTTCTATGGATACGTCATCTGGAATGTTCCGCAGTGTGACTTTAAACAGCTCTACTTCACATTTATTCAATCACAGGTGGTTTTATAGCTCAAAAATACGTAGAAAAAGAGACATTCTGACAGTGAGCGGGGTCGCCTCTCCGCAGATCTGACCCGTAACTTGGTCTGGTTTGGTCTCCATGGAGATAGAAAGGTTTAAAGCTATACTGTGGAACATTCTAGACAAAGCAAGAAAAGCATTTACAGATCCTCCACCAGAGAAAGTTACATAACGTCAAAAACAAAGGATTATCAAAATGTTTTATTAGTTTCTCTGAGTCTCTTTGCTCCCTGTGCTGACTCACTCCCCCTTCAGAGCACTATCAACACAATAAGCGTGCGTTCTGCTAATGAAACTACATCGGGTTTGTGAAGTCGTAGTGTACAGTTTCGTATATTTATGGAGAAATGTTGCGTGGGAGCATGTGGGCGGAGCCTCGTACAAAATCGTACCTCTAACTGTAAGCAGGGTTTGAATAGGGCTCAGAAGAGATCGCTAAATTACACAAACATGCATGGATGACTCTAAAATGACTTCAGGCAGATTTATAATGAAGGAACAACGTTGTAACATGTTGGAAAGCTTCAATAAGTAAATTTCTTTCCTAAAACATTCCCAGCATCTTAGTTTTGCTGTGACGCTGATGGTAACAACAACTAGCATGCTAACACCGCACCAATGTAACTTTGAGATTCGCCGAAGCTAAAACCCTCCATATTTTACACTCTGATTACATACAGACTCTCACAGCGGTTCAGGGTCTCACCTTTGACTCTCTTGGAGGAGGCCAGCAGCAGGTGGTCCTCTGGCAGAATGTGGGTGATGATGTCTATGGCACGTTCTGCATGAAACCTACAAACACAAACACACACAAAATATTACATCACCATCACATCAATTTAATGAAGACTCTACAATTCTGTTTAAATATCCAAGTATGATTCAATTTGTAGTGCAGCTTTAAATCTACTTTCACTTCCGAGTGCACAGAACTCAAAATTTTGTTACAGCAATGTATCGAGATGGACGTCTTGAAAAAAAAAAGAGCGATACAGAGATGTGTATTGTGATTCTTTTAAATGGCAGATTCCTTATAAATGTATGGTTTAGACACTTATGAACCTGCAGACGTCTGGCCTGATTCGTCAGACGGTTTCACTTCGTAGAAACAGTCTGACCTCACAGCGTTAGGATTCGTTCGCTTGACGGTAGGTGGATACTTTGTTTTTTTTATTTAACCAATCGCTGTTATTTGGTCGTGACGTATGTGATGCACCGATAAAGGGGATAACTGGCATATTAAGCTTTTCTCAAATCCCGTAGGAAGAAGGACAATAACGTTTTTCCCCTTGATAAAATTCACCAAACATTCTCTTTGTTCCGGCTTTAAATCCTCGATCTCGGGAATCGTTGCCAACACAGAACGTCTGTCTCTTTGCTGATTGGCTGGTGCCTGAACTCGCACTTCCGTAGTTTTTGTGAACCGTTTAGTTTATTCTGATTCTTGACCTAGTCACTGGAGAGAAACTAAATTAAGCGGAGGCACTATGTGGCGCCAGTCTGACTAGCAGACGTCTGCATTCTGAATCTGCTGTGGTGAAAATGTGACTTACTGTAGGAAAATTCTGACATTAAGAGACAAAGGAATTCCAGTGTGTTTTGCATTTAGTTAGTCAATATTTAACACTGGTTATAATGGACATCTGTGTATCAGGACACGTGTCACATCAAGGTGCGAGTGTCAGGATACACACTGTATCATGAGGTACATCCTCACACTAACACGAGGTCTGGGCTCTCCAACCTGCAGCTCTCCACTTTCTTCCATGTAGCTCCCCAAGGGATTTCTGAATTATATATATTGCGGATAATAAGTAAAATTTGATTAATAACCATTAACCATTCTAAATGTATTATTCTGATGCCTAACTTGGTGCACTGATAAATGGATAATGGTTCATGTTTTATTAGAATCTAACTGTTCCTCATCTAAGGCCGTGGCTCTTGTATTTACTTTTACTATTTACTTGTGACTAAGGCTGGTATCATTAAGAAATTGCCAAAATAATACAAACCTCGATACATGAACCAAGATACAATACCTATCTCGATACAGTGAGCTTTTGATTCGATACGATACATTTCAAATCGATTCAATATGAGTCAATAAAAAATAAAGTCTAAATCATGTCTGTGACACTAAAAGTCTTAAATAAATCTGTTAAATCACTTCTTCTTGTGCAAAGTTCATATGAAACACAAACATTTTAATCATCAAAACAGTGAAAATGTCAAATGTGTCGCATCTGAAACCAAAGTCACTTTGTGAATGTTGTAACTTTATTTCTGAAAAACAAAACTGTAGCTCTGTAACAAAATATACATTTAGTAAAATATAGATGCAAAAAATAGCTCTGGGGAATGTTACTTTGGCGACAGGCAGCCCTATATCGCTGTAACAAGAATACCTTGGTTTATATTCCAAAAACTCATCGGCTTCGAAATGGATACGTTATATCATTAACAGATATATCATTTTATATCGATATTTTGATATTTTTGCATACTCCTATTTGCGACTGCTGAAATTAGTAGCTCTGACATTTTTGTTTTATAAAGAAGCTCAGTGGAGAAAAAAGGTTGGAGACCCCTGCGCTGGTGTACCTAAATATAAAGATCGATATTTCCTGTTTTGTGTTGAATTTTGGTATGAAAATCGCTCTATAAATAAAGTTCGACTGAAGCTGCACAGTGTAACTTTTCAGGCGAAGAGTCCTCCCAGCTGCTTGCCTCTGTCTCTGTCGCAGCTTTATCTGGAATATTCCACAGACTGGGATTAAAAGCGATGCTGCCGAGGCTAAATACTGATCGGATCTGCGGGGAGGCGAGCCTGCTCACAGTAACAATGCAGATTTATAAAGGAATTTTTGAGGAACAATGTGAAAGAAAGTGAATCATGGGCTCAATAATCATAAATCATTAAAAAAAACTGTACAATTTGTTATTGTTGTGATACATCTTGCAGTCCGACTTGTTGTTCTCCAGTCAGACCCACATGCCTCAGTCTCTTTCTGTCTCTAAATGTGATCTCGAAACGGGGTTAAACTCACAGGGCGTTGTCGAATTTGCCGGAGCTGTACTGGTGCACGTACGAGGAGTAGGCCAGGTCCTCGTGAGCTGTGGCCACGTGGATGTTTTTACCCCCGAAGACCGACTGCCTAATGTCCAGCGCTGTCTGCAAATCAAAACAAATCGAATCAGGACGTTTAAAATCCACTTTACGAGACAATTACCCTCCACCACGGCTCCATTCTGCAACATGCACGTGTCAGGCGCCCTCCTGTCCAACTGTATTAAAGCTGCACTGTGTAACTTTTAGGCCTGGGGTCCGTCACCTGCTTTTTTTTTTCTATGGACATGTCATTGCTTTGTCTAGAATGTTCCACAGTGTGACATTACACAGCTCGACTTTACATTTATTCAATTACAAGTGGTTTTAAAGCTCAAAAAATTTCAAAAAACAACCATTCCCCACAGATCTGACCTGGAACTTGGTATGGTTTGGTCTCCATGGAGATAAAGGTTTAATGCCATACTGTGAAACATTCCTGACAAAGCAATAACAGCATTTTGACGGATCCTCAATCACTGTTGTTTTTCCTTACGACCTCTTGTACACAGCTGATATATTTTTGTAATTTTTTATTTAATTTTAACTTGTACGCTGATATTATAGTGAAATGCATCAGAAAGTTTGTAAAAAAAAAATATATATATATATATATATATATATTTACATAAAAAAATAAAAATGTATTTATCACGGTATCCCCAGGTTTGACTACCCCAAATTTAAGACTTTAAGACCTTTTCAAGACCACTTAAAAGAAAATTAAGACCAACATCGCGCCTTTTACACGGGCAAAAAACACCAGATCCAATTCTAATAATGACCATTACTCAAAGCTTTAAATAACAAAAAATACTTTGATTATAAAATTTCATTCAGAACTCATTTATAGTCAGATGCACTGCTTGTAAAATTTATAACATTCTAGACAAAACAAACTAAGTATTGTCTGCGCATACTCCAAATTAGACGTTCATTCATAGGCCAATTTAATACTAATTTAAGACTTTTGTGAAAAATATAAGACTTGAACAACATAATTTAAGACTTTTTAAGGCCTTAATTTGGGAACATGAAATTTAAGACCTTTTTAAGACTTTTAAGACCCTGTGGCTACTCTGATATTGTTTTTTTTTTTGTTTTTCTTAGTTGTACGTTGATATTAGAGTGAAATGTATCAGAAAAGTTTGTTGTGACATAAAAATAATATATATTTTCTTTACATAAGAACTTAAATTTAAAGAGAGAAAGTGTTAACATGATTAGGTTTTATCCAATTTTGAAGTGTTTTACTCTTTATGAAAAAAAAAATATATTGATACCAGTTAATGCCGTATAAGAGCAAATTGTGAAAAACAAAACAAAAATATTTTAATGGCCTGCTGTTTATTTGTAGATCTCAGTTTGTGTTTTTCATCATTTTCAATTAGTTATTCTAAATTTATATTACATTTTAACAATACGTCTGTTGTACTGAATTACATTTTTACAACGTCCTTGGTTTTAAATGCAGAAAAATGTTTTTAATCAAAGGTTTTTTTCAAGGGGCAAATACAAAATGATAAAATATACACTTAAATATACCAAAAAATCTACACACTTCGCATCCCATTATACTTTCATTTTTTGAGCATTTTGGAAACGGCAAAACGTCACTGACTAATTTTTTATTTATTGTTTCTGTTCATTTTTATTTTTTCCCTTTCTTTGTTATTATATTTATTGTGATGTGTGAGATGCTGTGTCCAAATAATTTCCCTTGTGGATAAATAAAGCTTGTCTAAGTTTAAGTCTAAGTCTAAGTCTAACCCAAGAGCCAAAGATTAAATGTCTGTAACTTACCTGGTAAATTGCAACTGATTGGCAAATATTGTCTACATTTAGTAAGTAAAAGCCGTAGTCTAGCAGCGTGTCTGAATACTTGGGATGTTTGTGACCAAAATGTTCCCTGTGAAAACAAAACACCAGATTAAAATTCTCACAATAAGAAATTCAAAATACAGTGAAACGCCCAGGCTTTTCCTGATTCTCCGTTCTGTTTCTTCATCAAAAACAGACCTGGAGTTGGGTTTTGTTTCATTCACACATGTTTAACACACAAACCCTGCACATTTAGACTCCTCACAAATAGAAAACACTATTCCACCTTGTGATGTCATGTGGTGCTACAGGAAGTGCTCCACTGTGTTTTTAAACTCCACACACCTTCACTAGAATCATTTGCATAATTTCAGATCTGGAATTGCCGATTTCTACCGACCTAAAGGTAAAAGGAGCCGTTCACGTGTGTTTTTAAACTTCATACTCCACTAGAATCATTTGGATAATCTCTAAACTACCGCTTCATGACATCACAAGGTGGAACAGAGCGTTTTGAGCTTTGGAGATGTAGACAGACTAATAATAAAGAGTTACTCAAACATGTGTGAATGAAACAAAACTCAACTCCAGCTCTGTTTTTGACGAGGGAACAACATTACAACATGACTAAAAGCTCATAAGAGTCATTTTTTAAAATAATATAGGACCTTTAAAGCTGCATTGTGTAACTTTTCTGGTGGAGCGTCCATCAAACACTTTTCTCCATGGAGATGTTATTGCTTTGTCTGGAATGTTCCACAGTATGACATTAAACCTTTCTATCTTCATTGAGACCAAAACCAAACGGAGTTACAGGTCAGATCTGCGGAGAGGTGACCCCGCTCACAGTGAAAATGTCTGTTTTTCTAGGTATTTTTGAGCTCTAAAACCACCTGTAACTGAATAAATGTAAAGTAGAGCTGTTTAAAGTCACACTGCGGAACATTCCAGACGGAGCAATGACGTATCCATAGACACAAGCAGGTGACAGACCCTACACCAGAAAAGTTACACAGCGCACATTTAACTTTAAGATGAAACATTGGTACAACTTGTAAGTGCATGGAGACAAGGAGACTTACAAATATAATAATCCCTACAAATGTAACAAGACTATCTATCTATCTATCTATTAGGGATGGGCATTCGATGAAATTTTCTTAATTGATCTTCGGAAGAATTAACGATCGATTATCGATTAATCATTAAAGTTTTTATATTAAAATGATCATCATTATTATTACTATCTGCACTAATCTGCATAAATAAATTCAACTTTACGACATATAAACATAACGACTCTAGAGCCACATCAGCTGTTTGACATTATAATGTGTTTAATTCAGTTTTGTTCAAATCTCACAGAAACAAAACTTAAAACCACATCACTAATTTGCATAAACTAAGCAAAGATAAAACTCCAGCTCTTGTGTCGCTGATGTGGTTCAATTTCTGTCTGATTAAAAGACATGACTCAGGTGAATACAGGTCAGTGTGACCAGATTTGTGTTTGTCAAAACCAGGACAGCGTACGGGGGGAGGGGGGCGGGGCCTCGTCATCCACATTGAGCGACTCTCACCTGGAAAAACTTTTTCCCACTGGACACAGAAACATATGTGCTGCTTTATCCACTGTGCACATGGACTCACACTTGTCCCAACGCAACGGAAAGTGTGGATTTTCTTGTACAAATCATCGTTAAATCCACATTTGTGCTTCGGTTCGTTACAGACTGACCCACTGTTTGTGTCTCGCTCCTTCTGATGCAGAGACACATGTACACACCTGTTTGGTCACGATACACACAGCAACCTACATTCTGTTTGTCGATTAAAATTAAAGTAATCGATGAAATTCTTAATGATCAATTATCGATTAATCGACTAATCATGCCCATCCCTACTACCTATATATATATATATATATATATATATATATATATATATATATATATATATATATATATAGAAGCAAATGAGAAATTAAATTCTCAATCAGTCACTATATATTTAAACCTTTTTCCCAACGGCTGGAAGTGTCCCGCTGTAGGATTGCAGAACTTCGGGTTAATGATTTTCTGTGGCAAAATGTGTGTGTAAATGTGTGTGTAAATGTGTGTGTAAATGTGTGTGTAAATGTGTGTGTAAATGTGTGTCGTATTCTCCAGCAGCTTCATAAATCTGTCCCATCACCGAATCTTCAACCAATAAACTCCACAAAGGATAAACATTCTAACATGAATAATTTATCCACAACAATCAAGAGAAGAAAGACCAAAATTTAAAGGAAACGACGACGACGCATCAATGACACACAGAACAAAACTAATGGGTCATTCTACGCCAAATGCCCCTGCTCGAGCCGAGTTTTCCAAGGAGCCACTTTCAGATTTCTGTATCTAAAAATGTATTTAAGGTCGGTCCTTTAAATTTTCATGGGTTAAAATTTGTCAAATGTACATGTAGAATCTGGATTTTTACACATGTGCTTTTGATTTATCACAGATTTCTGGGGACTTGAATTTGATCGAAAATTTTAATCTTTAAATCTGAGGGCGTCTTTCAAGGACTGTGGAAAGTGCACCTTTGTACAAATAAATTTTTTACATTTTTAAGGCTTAATATCTTGTTGAGCGTTCATCACAGAGGGTCAGTTTTAAAATACAAAGTCCACGGTGGCAGGTGTGGGAAGGTTTATGTTCAATATCAAACCTCTGTCTTTGAAATTGCACTTTCCACAGTCCTTCAAAGATGCCCTCACATTTGAAGAGTAAAATTTTCAAGCAAATTCAAGCCCCCAGAAATCTGTGATAAATCAAGACTAAAAATCCAGATTCTACAAGCACATTTGCCAAATTTTAACCCTTGAAAATTTGAAGGATAAATAGTTTTTAGATGCAGCAGTCTGAAAGTGGCTCCTCAGAAAACTCGGTTCAAAACAGGTCAGGGCGGAGCTGACAAAATATCTTTCAATGACAAAACTATAAGTATTTGGGAGCTAAAATTTGGGAGTTTTCCTGTTGGAAAGTGTGTGAACCTCCGAGAATTTCTTCAGTCAAATCTGAGATGGTCGGGCGGGGGCGTTCGGAGATTTGGCGTGGAATGACCCTAATGTTATGGTCCTAGAGATGTCTCGCATTCAAACTGCACAAATCTATCTACGTTAATATCGACGCCATGAAATCGATTTTTAATTTTAATTGTAGAATCAGTCTGAGTGAACAAGTTACTTCTGTTTTATTCATTCTCCTTAAAAGTTTTGGTCTTTCTTCTCTTGATCGTTGTGGATAAATTGTTCATGTTAGAATGTTTATCCTTTGCGGACTTTGTTGGTTGAAGATTAGGTGATGGGGCAGATTTATGAAGCTGCTGGGCAATACGACAAATTTACACACACATTTTGACACAGAAAACCATTAACCCCAAGTTCCGCAAAAAAAAAAAAAGCTCTATTGAACCTTAAAATATGTTAAAGTGCATCCTATGCCTTTTCATACTCATTTGCTCGTCTGCTCGTCTCCATGGTGACAGGAAAGTTTCAGTATATAATCGTTTACCTGGCTAAAAAGACTGCATGTTTGATCAGCTGTTCTGCTTTTCTGAATTCTCTCTTCACGACACAGGCCTAAAGGAAACAAAAAGAATTGAATTAAATGAATAAATGTGTAGTGTGTGGAGTTTTTTAATGCAGTTTTTTTTTTTTTAGTATTACTGTCGATAAAGCGCTTGTACTTGATTTTGTCCTATGTGTTTGAACAAAATGTGCCTCGCCGCAGCACAGATATCTTACATAAGCAGCTCTTGAGGTCAAAACAAGTCCGCTGTGTCCTGTCTGCGTCTAATTATAACGTGTATTTATCGTCCAATAAACGGGAAGTTGTGAAAGTGTTTATAAACTCGTCGTCGGGATCGTTTTGGACGCTCTGAATGCAGAAGGTAAGTGAGGGGTAACTTTTGGACAAGTGCAAACTGTTTCAAGTGAACTGGTTTTGTTTTTCATGTTTTTAACTAAGACTCTGGTACAGGGTCTTTAACGACTGGGTTTCTGTCAGACTGTATATCCCTGTGTGTCAGATGCCCTCCCATCCTCTTGTACTCCTGCAGTGTAGGACTTTAGTTAGTCAACAAATGTACTGGCTCAAGTCCTGGCTCAAGTCCTGGCTCAAGTCCTGGCTCAAGTCCTGGCTCAAGTCCTGGCTCAAGTCCTGGCTCAAGTCCTGGCTCAAGTCAAGTCCTGGCTCAAGTCCTGGCTCCACGATGGTTCCACGATGGTTCCACGATGGTTCCACGATGGTTCCACGATGGTTCCACGATGGTCCTGGTTTGGCAATGGTTCTATCCTAGTTTGGTCCTGGTTCAGTCCTGGCTCGGTCCTGGCTCGACGATGGTTCCACAATGGTCCTGGTTCAATCCTGGTTCAGTCTTGGTCCAGCTTTAAAGATGGTTCAGTCCTGGTTCAGGCCTGGCTCGGTCCTGGCTAGATGGTGGTTTGGTCCTGGGTCGATGTGGCTCGATGGTGGCTCGATGGTGGCTCCGTCGTGGCTCCGTCCTGGCTCCGTCCTGGATCCGTGGATCCGTCCTGGATCCGTCCTGGTCGACGATGGTTCAGTCCTCGTTCAGTCTCGGTCCTGGCTCGGTCCTGGGTCAGTCTTGGGTCAGTCTTGGGTCAGTCTTGGGTCAGTCTTGGGTCATCCTGGATCGGTCCTGGTTAAGTCCTGGTTAAGTCCTGGTTAAGTCCAGGTTAAGTCCAGGTTAAGTCCAGGTTAAGTCCAGGTTAAGTCCTTGTTCGACGATGGTTCTATCCTGGTTCGGTCCTAGTATCAGATGCCCTCCCACACTTCATCCCTGTAGTTTTGTCCTGAGATGGAGCAGGTCAAATGTCTCTAGTTAATCTACAGATGTTGTTGTGTGTCAGATGCCCTCCCAGATGTTGTGGCGTAGTTGGATCGACATGATCAGTGAAAACATTTGTGTATTTGGACATTTGTAGATTTCTGATGAAGACGAGGGCTTGTGTTTGTACCTTTGAGGCCTGTCGCAGAACATCTACTACTACTTTAACAGGCAGCCCTGGAGTTATTTCCTTCATCGCCTCTATACACCACCTGTAAGCCTGCAACACAAAACACACACGCACCAGTCAAACACTTTCTTCTTACAACAATAAAGACATATTATCTGTTATGAGTCATTTTATTTATGAGTTTGGCCGCGTCTCATTTCTCTTTCCTCGATTCTGCAGGAAATGGGGGAGGAAGTCCTGCCCACACAGGAGACTGAAATACCGGCTTGAGCGCCATTCTGTCGGCGGGAAATTCTCGCCTTTGGTATGTACTGAGTTAGAAAATCAGCTTCTATATCATAATAAAATGAAATGGGGATGAAGTGAGAGCAAATGGGGGCCTTGTTTATGTTATTTCACCGATCCTCCCGAAGCGACACACATTTTCTAGTTTGTAACATCAATATAATCCTCATTTTCTCACAGAAGTTTACGATGAAATCACATTTTAAATAATTTTTTTCATCTGTAACTGTTGATTTGGGAAGAAATATTAGTTATTTCATTACCTGCTGCCATGAACATAATTTGTAAGCAGCGCAACACCAGAAATTTAGAAACTTAGCTAAAGAACTTGTTCAAAAATCATTCAGAATCACTTTTACGGTCTGTTAACACAAGAACACTTAAAAACGACAAAATGTTTCATCAGATGTGTCTTTCGTTTAGACGGTGACGGTGTTTTTGGGGCTTAAAAACGCAAGAATCTGAAACCACCCTCCAAAGTGGAAAAGTTGAAAACGCTCCACCGTAGTGTTTCCGTCTACACTGCCCAAGACGCAAAACTCTGGTCAGATCTGCTCACGTCATGTACACGTTTACGTCACATACATCACCACCGAGCGTCACCACCGAGCCGCCTGGCATGCACCCAATACCCTATAGGCGAGTTTCAGCTGACGTCATTGTTATTAAAAGCCCGCGTTGCTGCTGGGAAATATTTTGGTCAGAGCCAAGAAACACGGTAGCGTCAAACACAGAGCGTAACCTCGCGTATTTATCCCCGATAATGGTAAATTCCTGCTGCATTATCGGATGCACAAATAGAAGCACGGAAGAAGGAAAATGTCTTTTTCGTATTCTGAGTGAAAAGAACCGCTAACGGTGAATTAAACGGCTTTCAAACATCCGCAAAGCAAACGTAGAAGATCCTAACAAACCGTGGACTCCAACAAGTTCAACAACACATCGAGACTCTTGGAGGTTTTCATCTTTTCTGCTGTGAATGGCCCAGGAGTTTCCACCAAGTCATTGTGGATATCGCCCAAGTGAATATTTGTCCAGGTAGTTGGCGATTCTGACCAGAAATTTGGTTTGGTTTCACCTTTTGTCGGGGTTGAAAATGGTGATTTGTCGTCCGTCGATGCTTATGACCAATTTCTGGTCAAATGGTCTTGGGTCCTCTGCCGTTACAGTGGATAAATAACCGGGATCAATACCCTTTACGTGCTTTCTCTCTCCGTCCGTCATGTTGAAGTAGTGTTTCTTGCCGCCGACCAAAATAATTCCCAGCATGCAACGCACGCGCTTTTGTCAACAATGAAACTCGCCTATCAAATTCCACACACTTTTGCGTCACCGTATGCACTCAGATTTCCTCCCAAAAACACTCCCACTTTTGCGTCTTCTGTTCAGACATCATCATATAAACGTAGCTTTAGGAAGGTACAAATGTGTTGATATTGTAACTTGCGTGTGTAATTAAAACAAAATATATAATAATTTTTTTTTGTTTTTTTAAATTTATATGTATATAGATTCACCGTACAGTTCAAGGGAACTTTGCAACTGATTTCCCACAAGGAGTAGAGAGGATATAAACGCCTCACTGACACCGATAAAGATTGATTCTGTTCTCTGACGTTCTCTACTGAAGCCTCCCTCGTGTTTACTCCTTCATTCCTTGGTTTTCTTTGGAACGACGCCTAATATGACACGTCTGACCGACAACTAAAAAACTGAGGTTCGAGGAGAAGGAAGCAAGGAGAGAGAGAGAGTGTTTTTCGACCTCATCGTAGTGGCTTTTGGCGAAGAGCAAGGCACAGAGTTCTCCGTAGAGCGCCGCCCTGTTGGCCTGGTGTCCGTGAGTCGACAGCTTGTCCATGAACGACTGCGCCAGTTTGAACGTCTCCTCCCCCAGGTGGTACTTGCAGTTACCGTTACGCACGTGGAGCAGCCTGCAACACAAACACCAGAAAAACTGATTTCCCCTTTGCAGTATATAAAAAAAAAACACTGGAAAAATGGAAGAGAAGCCCAGAGTGACCTTTTAGTTAGTGACACATTCAACAGGCAAATTAAAACAAACACAAAACCACATGAGACAAAAGTCAAACGCACCATTAATACATAATTTACCGTATTTTTCGGACTATAAATCGCACTGGATTATAAGGAGCATTAAGAGAAACAAACAGACGACACTTAAGACTGATCCTTCGTCCAGACTCGCCCGGCGACGCCTCACTGTCTTGGTGAATGTGTTTTAAGAATGTGAATGTGGGTGGATCATTTAAGTTTGTTTTTTATTTCCTACGAGGACGACTCAAATAAACTTCGAGTAATAATGTGTTTACTGCAGCTTTGACACATCTGTTTACGTTTTACAGAAACAAAACTTAAAACCACATGTCTCATTTGCATAAACTATAAGCTCTTTCCTTGTGTGCTGATGCGGTTCAGCTTCTCTCATGACTAAAGGACACGACTCAGAGAATATGAGTTTTCTTTTTGCGACAAGGCGACGGCTCAGTGTGCGATGAGTCGACGCAGAACTAAACTTTGCCCTTTACTCCGCGAGCCTCCTGACTTTCATCAAGTAGTGCGGTTTCATAGTTTAACAAAGTCGTACTAAAACATTTTGACAGATTTTTGACGCCGTATACCACATAAAATCGATTCGAGATCAGTCAGAGCAATCAGAATTAATACATTAGGCGCACTGTCGATTTTTGAGATAATTAAAGGATTTTAAGTGTGCCTTATAGTCCGAAAAATACGGTAGTCAAAGATATTAAAAGAAAAGTGCCTGCTGCATTCTTAAAGTGCACTGTTTAAATACTGTTTTTATAGAGCTGTGTCCGACCCTCTAAAGTTGCAATTAAAGTTACAATTTCTTTTTTTTAAAGGATTTTTTGGCCCATAGGCTTTACTAGATATGACAGTTTATCATGAAATTGGGCTGAAGAGCAGGAAGAGACATTCAGCACACTGCCAGCTGCTTTACTTATTACTTATTTTTTTATTGTTTTAATCACTTTTAACCACCAAATGCAAACCAGAAGTTACATTACAGTGTCACAGATTCTGCATTCACCCAGTCACACTTGTGTCGCCACAGCCGCCCCAGGGCAGACTGACAAAAGCAGGGCTGCGAACTGACTTACACGCAAAACATACACTCGTTATAAAAACCTAAAGACACGTCAGCAGTGTGGAATCTGTGGATAAACGCTGTCACCAATGGCACTAAATTGGGTTATAATATTGGTCTATTTTTCTTTTTTTTTTGTGTTTTTTGAAAGGACCTGGCAAAACTGGCTGTAAATATCCAAATGCGAACCTTTCAGTGTTTTAAACGTTTACATTTTCATTCAGTAAAACTTATTATAGTGTGTTTATAATGTCTGTATTACCTTTAGTGATTCTCTGACCACATAATAAAGAGTTATACTTTATTACAATGAACCATCCAAGGATATACTGGCCCGAGGGTGTTTATAATTATGTCCGTATTGTCTCTTTGAGTAAATCTTTAGTTGTTTGTCTGATCCCTGTATTGTAACGTCCATGTTTATTATTATAACTGTTGAGAGAATTGAATTTCTGCTCGGCTGTAAATCTTTATTTCTCCTCTGACCTGACGCAGCGCTCCACGGCTCCGACCACACGATAAAGAGTCATTATACTGTATTATAATGAACCACTCAATACAGGCCCTATGAGGTTTATAATAGTCTGTACTGTGTCTTTGAATAAGTCTGTAGTGAGTCTCTGACCTGAGCACTTCCACGGCTCTGACCACATAAGAAAGAGTCATAATAGTGTATTATAATGAACATCCAGTACCGGTCCTACGGGGTTTAGAATGTCTGTATTAGTGCTGGAATCATTAACAAGTTGCCGATACAATACATACCTCGATACAGTGAGCTTCTGATTCGATATATTTCCAATCAATTCAATACGGATCTATAAAAATATCACTAAAAGTCTTTGTTAAACCACTTCTTCTTGTGCAAAGTTCATATGAAACACAAACATTTTAATCCTCAGAACAGTGAAAATGTCAAATGTGTCGCAAGAACGAGTTTCCTTCCTCTAAATAAGCAACAAAACTGTAGCTGTAACAAAATAATTTAGTAAGATATACCAAAAAAAAAATACTCTTGGCGATATGTCGATACAGCAGCCCACGACATCGATACTGTATCATCACGGTCGGGGGCGGGTGGGATAATAAACTGCAGTCCCGCAAACTAACACGTAAACCGTCCCGTACGTTGTGCAGGCTGCGCCACTAAACCAGCTCTAAACCAGGACTAAACCAGGTCTAAAACAGGATTTAGCCAGGACCTAACCATGCCGCCAGACCGCCCACTGCACCTCCACCCCCAAACTCAATCCGGTCTGCGAAACATTGTCTGATATAAACCGGTCCGTGGCGCAAAAAAGGTTGGGGATCACTATTTTAGACAATTCCTTTCCGCTTCTCCCTATTTGATAGAGCTTATGTGCTTAAGTTTGGGAGCGGGACAAAGTATCGCAGATGTGGGTGGGAGCGGAACTGAAAATTCTGTCCCGCGCAGACCTCTAACCTCTAGTCTGTACTGTCTCTTTAAGTAAATGGCAAAGGAAAAATTCAATTTGTCAACTGGACACACGTTTATTTAGATTGAAAACGTTTCTCAGCTCATCCAAGCCGCTTCTTCAGTTCTGGTCGGTCTCTGGTGGACATTTCCTTATATCTGTCTGAAGGGGGGAGCTAACTACACTGAAACTACTCTGAAACTAACACGATACTCGTTTACGGTTTCTGTTTGTCAGCTAGGCCTATTGGGTCTATTCACTCTTTCGTCACAAACCATGAAGACGTTTGGAAACATGCGATGACAGCTTCCGGCAGGCTCTGTTCACAGTAGTAAGTCTGACAAAATCTACGAAAAATGAGAAAATGTCCCGGTTTTCTTCATCTCCACATCACTGAAGCGTTCCGTCGTTATGTTCGGCTCATCAACTAATTACAAAAACACCGACGCACAACTCCGAGCGCTCCGAGAACATGCGATTAGAAGAGACGAGGCGCCGAATTCCAGATGATTCCAAACGGCACATATGTCTGCAGTCTTCACTTTACCGCTGATCACGTTTACATTTACATTTACATTCAGTGGGTTTGATCACAGTCGGTCGGCGAGCCCAGCGTCGGGAAATACACCGGAAGTTGACATCACATGTTTCAAAACGTCTTCCTGGTTTGTGACATAAGCGCGAATAGAGCCAACTGAACTGCACTGAGTAGGTGTGTTAGTTTCAGAGTAGTTTCAGTGTAGTTAGCTCCTCCCTTCAGGCAGATATAAGGAAGTGTCCACCAGTGTCTGACCAGAACTGAAGAAGCAGCTTGGATGAGCTGAGAAACATTTTCGACCAAAAAACTTTAGAATTAGAATTTAATTTCTTCTTTTCCATAGATTCTTCCTGGAAGATTGAGGAATTTTACAAACATCCTTGAGTAAATGTCTAGTGATTCTTTGACCTGACGTAGCACTCCACGGCTCTGACCACTAGGGGTGTGCAAAAATACTGAAATATCGATATATCGTATTGCTTAATGTGATGATACAGTATCGATGTCGTGGGGTGCTGTATCGATATATCACCAAGAGTATTTTTGGTATATTTTACTAAATTATTTTGTTACAGAGCTTGTTACAGTGCTTGTTTAGAGGAAGGAAACTTTTTTATGCAACACATTTGACATTTTCACTGTTTTGATGATTAAAATATTTGTGTTTCATATGAACTTTGCACAAAAAGTGGTTTAACAAAGACTTTTAGTACCACAGACATGATTTAGCCTTTATTTTTATTGAACGGTATCGAATCAATTTGAAATATATCGTATTGAATCGAAAGCTCACTGTATCGAGATATGTATCGTATGGTGGCCTATGTATGTATTTTCTGACCTGACGCAGCTCCACGGCTCTGACCACGTAAGAGAAAGTCATAATACTTTATTGTAGTGAACCAACCAATACCTGTCCTGTGGGGTTTATAAGAGGTGGGATAAGAAACTATTTCCACGAGAACGAGACAAAACGAGACTAATTTGACATAATTTGTAATAAAGAAGTAGAGCAATCCATTTCAAAATTTCGACTTCACTGTTTTCGTTTATTTTATGTCATACTTCATTTGCTTTTTGGAACTACAGCTTCTCAAATTGTATAACTCTTAACTCTTTTTTTTGTCCGAATCAAATTAAATTCAGATGGAAAAATAATCACACAAGATTCATTTGTCTCATGTGTGGCAATTTAGTCTCGTGAGATGTCGTCCCATCCCTCGTGTTTATAATGTCTGTATTGTCTTTTTGAGGAACTCTTTAGTGATTCTCTGACCTGACGCAGCACTCGACGGCTCTGAAGCAGTGGAGCACTTCACTGTGGAGAGAGCAGAGCTGAAGACACGACAAAAACACCTTCTCTGCATCTCCGTACCAGCCCGCGTCAGACAGGAACCCGCCTGAAGGAAAACACAAACACAGAATTATAACACATCTCAAACTTTATCTTGTATGGCTGAGTGACATGACAAAAAAAAAAGAATTATGATTTTTTTTTTTCCCCTTCACATCAAAATTTTCGTTTCGATTTCATCTTTTCTGTTCAAAAACTAAATAAAATTGTTTTCAGGATTGAATTTATGAACATAAACATTATTATTATTATTGGCATTTAAAGAGCCCATATTATGCTATTTTCTTGTGCTTTGTTTTTTTTCCCCCACACATGTTTAAACTGAGTGACATGACAAAAAAATAATTGATTTTTTTTTTTCTTTCACATCAAAACTGTCAACACGATTTGATCTTTTCTGTTCAAAAACTAAATAAAAATCACTATTGAATTTATTAACTTAAACATGACAAACTTATTATAATTTGGCATTTACTTACGCTATTTACTTGTGCTTTTTTTTCCCACACATTTTTAAACTGAGTGACATGACAAAAAAAAAGAATTATGATTATTTTTTTCCTTTCACACCAAAATTTTTGATTCAATTTGATCTTTTCTGTTAAAAAACTAAATAAAATGGTTATTATTGGCATTTAAAGAGCCCATATTACACTATTTTCTTGTGTTTTTTTTCTTTATTAATTTTTTTTAATTTTTTTTCTTTCATTTTTTTCCCCTCACATCAAAATTTCCCATTCAATTTGATCTTTTCTGTTCAAAAACTAAATAAAAATCATCTTCACTATTGAATTTATTAACTTAAACATGACAAACTTATTATAATTTGGCATTTAATTACGCTATTTACTTGTGCTTTTTTTTTTTTTTCCACACATTTTTTAACTGAGTGACATGACAAAAAAAAATAATTATGATTATTTTTTTCCTTTCACACCAAAAGTTTTGATTCAATTTGATCTTTTCTGTTAAAAAACTAAATAAAATGGTTATTATTGGCATTTAAAGAGCCCATATTACACTATTTTCTTGTGTTTTGGTTTTTTTTAATTAATTTATTTTTTTCATTTTTTTCCCCTCACATCAAAATTTCCCATTCAATTTGATCTTTTCTGTATAAAAACTAAATAAAAATGGTCTTCAGTATTGAATTTATGAACTTAAACATGACAAACCTATTATAATTTGGCATTTAATTACGCTATTTTCTTGTGTTTTGTTTTATTTCACACATGTTTAACACACACAAACCCTGCAGATTTTCTCTCAAATAGAAAACACAGATCATTTTGAGATTTGAAAATGTAGACAGACTATAATAAAAGAGTAACTCAAACATGTGTGAAACAAAACACAACTCCAAGTCTGTTTTTGAGACCATTATAACATGATTTAAATCTCACAAGAGTCAGTTTTGTGTCATTTACGATCTTTTAAAAACTCATATTCACCGAGCACGAAGCCGAACTGAATGGCCTTCTCCTTGACGTGAGCGTCCGACTCCGCGATGTACGAGCAACGGCGACTGAAGGAATTGGCCAGAACGGACGCTACTTTGACGCCGTGGTCCATCAGCGCCTGGAAACAGTGATGCAGGAGGTGTCTGGGGAGAGGGAAGGCAGGACAGGACAGGACAGGTCAATCCAACTTTATCTGTGCAGCACATTTTATAAACACAACAGTTTCCAAAGTGTAAACAGATAAAAGACTGATAATAAAATCAATGAATAAAAATAAAATCAATTAAAAAAAAGCAATACTAAAAATAAAAAAATAAAGATAGATAAAAAACATGTTCTGAAATGTCCCTATGTGTGTCAGATGCCCTCCCTGTGTCTCCATGGAGTCTTACTCCGAGTAAAAGCTGCGAACTTCGTAGTTTCTCTGAGTTTTCCATTAAATTTCCCTGTTTGTGTATTTTTTGTTTAATGTATTTTTGGATCAGTTTTCTCTCGCTTTCTGTCTCTCGCTCTCTGTCTCTCGCTCTCTGTCTCTCGCTCTCTGTCTCTCTCTCTGTCTCTCGCTCTCTGTCTCTCGCTTTCCGTTTCTCTCTGTCCCTCTCTCTCGGTCTCTGTTTCTCTCAGTTTCTCTCTGTCTGTTTCTCTGTCTTCGTTTCTCCCAGTCTCTCTCTCTCTCTTTATCTCTGTGTCTCTCCTTTTCTTGCTCTCTGTCTCTCCGTCTGTTTCTTTCTCTGTCTTCTCTCTCTCTCTGTTTCTCCATCTGTTTCTCTCGCTGTCTCTCTGTCCGTCTCTGTTCGTCTCTCTCTGCTTCTCAGTTTCTGTCTTCTCTCTCTCTCCGTTTCTCCATCTGTTTCTGTTTGTCTGTCTCTGTCCGTCTCTCTCCGTCTGTCTTTTTCCGTCTCTCTCTGTCTCTCTGTCCTCCTCTCTCTCTCAGTATGTCTTTCAGTCTCTCTCTCATTTTGCCTCTGTCTCTCATTTTGTCTCTCAGTCTCTCTCTCATTTTGTCTCCCAGTCTCTCTCATTTTGTCTCCCAGTCTCTCTCTCAGTTTGTCTCTCAGTTTGTCTCTCAGTTTGTCTCTCAGTTTGTCTCTCTGTCTCCGTCTCCTCCTCTCTCTCCTTCTCTCTCTCTCCTTCTCTCTCTCTGTTTCTCAGTCTCTCTCTCAGTCTCTCTCTCAGTCTCTCTCTCAGTCTGTCTCTCAGTCTGTCTCTCAGTCTGTCTCTCAGTCTGTCTCTGTTTGTCTCTCTGTTTGTCTCTCTGTTTGTCTCTCTGTTTGTCTCTCAGTCTCAGTCTCTCTTTGTCTCTCAGTCTCTCTCAGTTTGTCTCTCTGTCTCTCTCTCATTTTGTCTCTGTTTCTCTCTTGTCTCTCTCTCAGTTTGTCTCACTGTCTCTCTCAGTTTGTCTCTCTGTCTCTCATTTTGTCTCCGTTTCTCTCTTGTCTCTCTGTTTGTCTCACTGTCTCTCTCTCAGTTTGTCTCTGTCTCTCTCAGTCTGTCTCTCAGTTTGTCTCTCAGTTTGTCTCTCTGTTTGTCTCTCTGTTTGTCTCTCTGTTTGTCTCTCTGTTTGTCTCTCTGTCTCTCAGTCTCAGTCTCTCTTTGTCTCTCAGTCTCTCTCAGTTTGTCTCTCAGTCTGTCTCTCAGTCTCTGTCTCTCTCTCCGTTTCTCTGTCTCTCTGACTTTTCCCAGATTAAATGTCCGTGTTTGTCTGAGTCAAAGTCTTGTGATGCTCTCGTCTCTGCTGCTCTGTCACTGACCCAGACACACAGAACACTGGACTCTGTTTCATTAACAACAACGTTTCACGCTCACTTTATTTTTGGGTCATTTTAAGGCCCCGGATTACACACCGTCCTCTGATCTCTGGTCTAACGTCGTTTCCTCGTCACAAACAAGACCTGGAGCTGTGTTTAGTTTCATTCACACATGTTTGAGTAACTCTTATTAGTCTGTCAACATCTCCAAAGCCTAACAATAATAATAAAGAGTTACTCAAACATGTGAATGAAACTAAACACAACTCCAGCTCTGTTTTTGAGGCAGAAACAACATTAAAACATGACTTAATGACACTTTCGGTTTAAAAATGATTCACTGAGATTATCTTGTTTGTATCAGTGTTATAAAGTTTTAATATTATCATTTATCGCACTATTTCTCTGTACAATTATTTATTATTGTTCTACACATATCAGTTTGGAGTTAAGTTGGACCATAGACGGTATAAAAAAGTGGATTAACGGAGTGTGACGTCATCCAGTCAAACGAAGCTCAACAAGGCCGGAGGTTAAGGGGGCGAATTTGGAACTGATTTACAGAAAAAAATTGTGAAAATAAAAACACCAGGATCACGAAGAGTGGGTTAATACGAAGATTTTAAGACAATCTGGGTCTCTGCGCTTCTCTGGGTCTTAGTATCCGTGTTTTGTCTCTGCGTTTCTCTATCACTTTTTGGGTCTCTGCGTTTCTCTATCACTTTTTGGGCCTCTGCGTTTCTCTATCACTTTTTGGGCCTCTGCGTTTCTCTATCACTTTTTGGGCCTCTGCGTTTCTCTATCACTTTTGGGTCTCTGCGTTTCTCTATCACTGTTTGGGCCTCTGCGTTTCTCTATCACTTTTTGGGCCTCTGCGTTTCTCTATCACTTTTTGGGCCTCTGCGTTTCTCTATCAGCGTTTGGGTCTCTGCGTTTCTCTATCACTTTTTGGGTCTCTGCGTTTCTCTATCACTTTTTGGGTCTCTGCGTTTCTCTATCACTTTTTGGGCCTCTGCGTTTCTCTATCACTTTTTGGGTCTCTGCGTTTCTCTATCACTGTTTGGGTCTCTGCGTTTCTCTATCAGCGTTTGGGTCTCTGCGTTTCTCTATCTGCTTTTTGGGTCTCTGCGTTTCTCTATCACTTTTTGGGTCTCTGCGTTTCTCTATCACTTTTTGGGTCTCTGCGTTTCTCTATCAGCGTTTGGGTCTCTGCGTTTCTCTATCACTTTTTGGGTCTCTGCGTTTCTCCATCACTTTTTGGGTCTCTGCGTTTCTCTATCTGCGTTTTGGGTCTCTGCGTTTCTCTATCTGCGTTTGGGTCTCTGCCGTTTGGGTCTCTGCCGTTTGGGTCTCTGCCGTTTGGGTCTCTGCGTTTGGGTCTCTGCGTTTGGGTCTCTGCGTTTGGGTCTCTGCGTTTGGGTCTCTGCGTTTGGGTCTCTGCCTTTGGGTCTCTGCCGTTTGGGTCTCTGAGTATGGGTCTCTGAGTATGGGTCTCCGCTCTGTTTCTGTCTCCGCGTTTCTGTCTCCGCGTATCTGCCTCCGCGTATCTGTATGTGTTTTTGTCTGTTTCTGTATCCCTTTTTGTGTGTCTCTGCGGTTCTCTGAGTTTGTGTCTTTGTGTTTCTCACCTTTTATCGGACGCTCGCAGCACTTTAGCGAACACCTCGAGCTCACAGAACTCTCCCCCGAGCTGACAGAGCCGGCCCTGCTGGTACAACTGTGAACACAAACACACACAGGGACAAAAAGTCAGGGACAAAAGTGAACCTGCACACGCACAACATGGACCTATCATCATTCATCACATTATTTACGCTTTAAAGACAAAATTTATTTGTTTGTCCTCTACATTTGACCCATCCTTCAGCGTCTCTGGGTAAAATTATTTTGTTCTGCCTTGCGTTACATCTTAATTTAAACATTTTAGTAATTGATTAGACAGAATAATTTAAAGCTGCATTGTGTAACTTTTCTGGTGTAGAGTCCGTCAAATGCTTTTCTGTGTGATGTTATTAAATAGATATGTCATTTCTCTGTCTAGAATGTTCCACAGTGTGACATTAAACAGCTCTACTTTACATTTATTAAATTACAGGTGATATTATAACTCAAAAATACCTAGGAAAACAGACATTCTGACTGTAAGCGGGGTCACCTCTCCACAGATCTGACCTGTAACTTGGTCTGCTTTGGTCTCCATGAAGATAGAACGTAAAACTGTGCAATTAATCAAATTCTGATCGCGACTCTGATTTGTGTGTCAAACGATCTCCAAACTTATAATATTGAGCTGAAACGATTAAAGCTTAACAAAGTTTATTTTGGGATATTTTTTATTTAAATAAGTATATTTATTTTATTTTTTAAATATAGAGATTGTAGAACAGCTGGATATAAGGTGTATTTTGGACACATTTATGTTTTTCTATGTCTTACATCATGTTCAAAGTTTATTTTATTCATTTTATGTTTTATACATCACAAAACTGCTCTAAAGTTCAGATTTGTAGTTTATATTTGTTTTCAATTTGAAAGTTTTGTGTAAATTATCAATAACAAAGTGGGTTTTTTTTAGACAGAAATGCTAAATAAATGCATCGTGTTACTAAAAAATAATCATCTGAATAATCGGGATTTAAATACTGACTAAAATAATCGTGATGATGATTTTTTTCCATAATCGAGCAGCACTAACAAGGGTTTAATGCCATACTGTGAAACATTCCAGACAAAGCAATAACATCTATCACGTCTGTGACACTAAAAGACTTAATTAAACCACTTCTTCTTGTGCAAAGTTCATATGAAACACAAACATTTTAATCATCAAAACAGTAAAAATGTCAAATGTGTCGCATAAACGAGTTTCCTTCCTCTGAACAAACAACAAAACTGTAACTGTAACAAAATAATTTAGTAAAATAAACCAAAAAATCCTCTTGGTGATATATCGATACAGCAGCCCACGATATAGATACTGTGTCATCACATTAAACGATACGATATTTTTTACACACCTCTAATGTCCATGGAGAAAAGCATTTGACAGACACAACGCAACAAACACAACAACAACTAACTATAGAAGTGTTATTCGTAAAACTGAACAAAACAAATGTGACGCGTGTAATCAGCGTGTAAAATTATTTAACAAAGACCAGTGTTCATGACCCATGTCCCAGATTCTGACGAGATTTTACCTCAAACGTTTTTACAACCAACACAATAACCTTTAGTTTCCTGAATTCTGTTTGTTAAAAGTGGAAGATTATCCCCAAAACAAACACTTCTGACACACACTGACCATAAAATCCAGGACAGGACTCATTTCCGAGCTGTTGGGAAACCGTCTCATGTCAAGAACCGAGAAGAAGCTCCGCAAACAAACTCTCAACGTAACCATGACTACAAAGCCGTTAAAGCTGCACTGTGTAACCCGGCGGAGTAGGGTCTTTAACACATTCCTCCGTGGGGATGTTGTTTGCTTTGTCTTGAATGTTCCACAGAGGTAAACTGGCTTATCTCCACGGCGACGAGCAGGCGAGACTAGGCCGAGCATTGTCACGGATAAAAACTACCTGTAATTGAATGAACGTGAGCTGGAGCAAGTTAATGCCGTACTGTGGAACATTCCGGGCAAAATTAGATCTTCGGGAGACGAGCGGGAGACTGAAGCGCAACCAGAAAAGTTACTTAATACAATTTTACAGTAGTTCTGTTTTTCAGGTTTGTAAGTAGTCCAGAATTCTTCCTCATTTAACTTATGCATTCAGAGCATCTTAATTATTTTAGTTTGTGTTTTGTTTGTTTTGTTGTACTTAAGTGTATGCAATTAATCGAATTTTGATTGCAATTTTGATTTGTGTGTCAAATGATCTCCAAATATAATCAAGTTGAAATGATTATGGTCGTTGTGTCCTGGTCCTTACTTTCCCTGGCACGTAGTTTTGCGAGGATTCACGTGGTGCCACAAACACTTGGTGCCCTACACTGTGCGTAATGTGAGCTATGGCTCTGATTATCTCCATAAACTCACGAAAGAGCATGTATCGCAGCAGGACTCATATCTGCCTCACTATTTAATAGATATTTCTGCCGCTGGACTTATTTTCTCCACTAAAGCGTTCGCTCTGCTGCCACATGTAAACAAACAGCGCCGTGTGATGACGCCATCGGCCGTGGTTCGGTTCGGTTGTGCAGGTCTGAGTGCAAAACATAGAACTCACAATAATCGAGCTTGAGCACAGCACGGTTCAAAAGTCCTAGTTTGAGTGTGTCCTAAAGCGTCACAAAGTTCTTTTTTTATATATATAAATAAGAAAATTTATTTTATTTTTTTAAATATAGAGATTGTAGAAGAGCTGGATATATAGTTTATTTTAGATACATTTATGTTTTTTTCTGCCTTATTCCATGTTCAAAGTTTATTTTATTCGTTTTACGGTGTGTACATCACAAAACTGCTCTATAGTAGGGGTTTAACGATACCGAAGTATCACGATACAATATTGTCACGGCATGAACCTCATGGTACGATATTTATTGTGACATTGTGGGAAAGCTCACGATTAGAGATGTAACAATATCCAAATCTCTCTGTATGATATTTTCACGATGTACATCTCACGGTACGATATTTATTGTGATATTTTGAGGAGGCTAAACAGCTAAAACTGTTAACATGTTTCTTTTTCCTCTTAAAATGCCTCGACAAGAGACAATAAGACTTAAAAGTGTTAGAACTGTTATTTCTTCTTGTAGTCTGCACTGGAATGGAGCAAAGGATCATGGTCTATGTAGTTCCCCCTTTTTTTTTAAACTATTGCTGCACCATAACTCTTCATTTAAGCAAAGGGACTTGTAATTTGATATATTGTGATGTTTCACGATATTATTGTGAGAACTTTGACAAAACGATATCACGATATTTCAGTTATTGTTACATCCCTACTCGAAAGTTCATATTTGTAGCCTAAATCATCAACAACAAAGGGGTTTTTTGTTTGTTTGTTTTTTGAAAGAGAGAAATGCTGAATAAATGCATCATGTAACTATAAAATAATCACTTTTTTTTGTTTTTTGTAGTACTTTTATTATCCCTGGAGTCGCCCCCGTTCACAGAAGGAGTTTTTGAGCAATAGAAACAACTGTAATGAATAAAGTCTTGATGGATACGTTTAATGTCATACTATGGAACATTCAAGGGAAAGAAATAACATCTCCATGGAGACAAGCAGGTAGGTACAATAGGTTGGACCCTTCACCAGAAAAGCTGCGCAGTGAATCTTTAAATCAAAACTGACTTCTTCACAATATTAACTTTATCCCCAAAATATGTAATGCAAGTTTCGTTTGAACCACAATTACACAAGGCAGAAACTTAATTAAAACTTATTTTCCGTGTATTTTTGGAGCAGTGTTGACCCAGTTTCTTCAGATGAAACAGAAAACTCACACCAAAGTTCTTGTCGAGGTGCAAACGCAAGAAGCACAAACTTAAAAGTGAAAAAATGCACAGCACACTCAGATGGCCCAGGTTCAAAAGCTTTTTTTAGTTTTAAATCATGTTCCGTCAGATCGTTTTTCTTGCTTTGGACCACCACTAGACCCAGTTTGTTACATCTGGATATTGTGAAGTCAAAATCGTTTACTTTGGGAGTGGCTTTAAGATTAAAAAAATCAAAAATTACAATCGATTACCTCTGAACAGACCAAACAAATATAAATACTTTTTAGTTGGGGTCCATCACCTTCTTGTTTCTATGGAGATGTCATTGCTCTGTCTAAAATGTTCCACAGTGTGACATTAAACAGCTCGACTTTACATTTATTCAGTTACAGGTGCTCAAAAACATCTTGAAAAACAGACATGAGCGTGGTCAGAAATCAGCTGGAAAGTTGCCCTGAATTGTACCCTTTAGGAAAGTTAGTTAATCTATATAAATATAAATACAAAATAATAATAATTTTATATATACATTATATTCATTACATTATAATTATTAATTTCCAACCCTCTCCTCATAAAATGCTGGGTCTATGTGGTCAGATGCCATCACTTGTCTCAGAAAATTCATCTATTTCAGGATTTTATCTTCATCATATTTCAGTGAAACACAAAGTTAAGACTTTCCTAAAAGTGATTCTGAGTGATTTCTGCAGAACAGACCAGACCAGACCAGAACGCCTCTAATAAAGGATATTCTATTCTATTTCTAACTTTCTTGTGTTGAGCTGCTTATAAATTATGTTCATGGCCACAGGTAAAGAAATAATTAATATTTCTTCCCAAATCACCAGTGACAGATGCTCTAGGACATGAGGAACAAGAACAAAATGATTTCAAATATGATTTCATAGTAAACTTCTGCAAGCAAACGAAGATCTGTAAAATGACATAAACAAGGCCTGACATTTGGTCACGCTACATTCACGTTTAATTTTATTATGATAAAATGCTGAATTTCTAACTCGATACATCAGAGTGCAGACGTGGCCGACTAAAGGCCAGTGAGTCTGTCCCTCGTCTCCCGGGCGCAGCAGGTACCTGGAGGGAGGAGGGAGACACACTCGAGCCGGTATTCAGTCTGTCACCTGCTTGTTTCTATGGATACATCATTGCTCTGTCTAAACCAGGAGTGTCAAACATACGGCCCGGGGGCCAGATCCGGCCCTCCAAGACCTTAAATCTGGCCCTCGGCTGCTTTTCTACTGAAATATTGTAATTATATTTTCTATTAAAATCTTGTTAATTTTCTGTGGTGTTTATCACAGCAGCGTCTCCAGCATCTCGGTAGCACAAATGAAGACTTGTCTCTTTCCAAACGCTCTTAAAGGACGATCGTTTTGACTGTTGACCGTGACACCCTCATCAGAAAAATGTCCAACATGAGAAAAGTGGAGCCGAGTGCAGGATTTTACAAGAAAAATTGACTTATTCCTGTTTACATACAAGTTCATGTTAAAACTTTGTGTTGAAATTGTATTTTTCTTAAAGTTTCAGGTTGTTCATAATATTATAATATTTTGTAAAAGAAAGAGTTCATCAATTAAAAAAGATTTCTGTAATAGATTTGTGTTTCTCTGCACAAATATTTGAACTTACTGTTATTTTTGGGGTTTATATGACATGAGTTTTATGATCCGGCCCCTTTGGGATCAAAGTCGGTTGGATATGACTCCCGAACCAAAATAGGTTTGACATGCCTGTTCTAAAATGTTCCACAGTGTGACATTAAACAGCTCTACTTTACATTTATTCAATTACAGGTGGTTTTATAGCTCAAAAATACCTAGAAAATTCGTCTCTCCACAGATCTGACCTGTAACTTCTGTCTGCTTTGGTCTCTATACAGATAAAAAGCTTTAACGCCCCACAGCGAAACATTCAGGACAACGCAACAACATCTCAAGAAGAAAAGTGTCAAAAGCGACTGACCCTCCTCCAGAAAAGTTGCACAATGCGGCTTTAAAAAAAGGCCGTAACCCGAGCCTCCGTTCTTCACTCTCTCTCCTCAGTGACATTTTTCACACGTCGTGGAGGTAATTTGATCCACGCACCTCCCAGTCTGGACAAACAACACAGTCGGAGTAATTACACCGACTGCTTGTGTAAAACAGCTGCTAATGACGACTATTAAAATCTGTTTCACACAACCACAAGCTCCAAATACAATGTTCCAGAACAGAAAACACACACATTTACAACTGTAGTACGTATATCTGTTCATGTAGTAGCTGTAGTAGTAAACAATGAGGACGATTCTAATAACATGGAAAACTCGTTAAATCGTCTTTATTTAATGTGTCTCGGCATCTGGGTTTGGGGAAGGTTCTGATTGGACAGAGACACCAACGAATTTACGTCTTTGGGAAGAAAACACACACTTCGGCTTTTCTGTCATCTCGGTTTGTCGTTACTCCACGGACACAAACACCATCCAAACTTTTCCCACAGTGGTTCCGATGAAATATACTGATACTTGCGAAACAGCAGCTGGAGAATTTTCTCATCGCGCTTTACGTCTGTCGGCTGAGGAGGAGAAGGGGAGAGCGTCGGAGAAGGAGGAAAAAGACAAAGTGAGTGTGAGGCTGTTGTACCTCAGCCCACTCCCACATCCCACTCACAAATCCAAAGAGACGTGGAGGAAAGTCCCAAGACACGACTGGTGGAACCGGATCGAAGGGCGACACAATGAGCATGAACTGAACGACCGGGATTATTTTTAAGAAGAATAAACGTTTACTAGCCTGATTCATCAGACGGTTTCACTTGGTGAAAACCGTCTGACCTCGCAGCATTATTATTTTATTTAACCAATCGCTGCTGTTTGGTCGTGACGTATGTAATGCTCCAAATCCCGTAGGAAAAAGGACAATAACATCTATCCCCTTGATAAAATTCAACAAACATTCTCTTTGTTCCGGCTTTAAATCCTCGATCTCGGGAATCGTTGACAACACAGAATGTCTGTCTCTTCGCTGATTGGCTGGTGTCCGAACTCGCACTTCTGGGTTTTTACAAACCGTCTAAGTGTATTCTGATTCCTGACCTAGTCTCTGGAGAGAAATGAAACTGAGCGGAGGTTCTAGGTGGCACCAGCCTGGCTAAATGTTTACATGATCAATGAATAAATTAACCGGAATAACTTACTTATTTCAGACTTATTTACTTATAACTTGCTTCAGAATTGAGTTTAATTCTGAATAATTTTCAATCAGTTTCATTAGGAATTAAGTGTTTACATGGTCTTTTTAAAGCAGAATACATTTTTATTCTGAATTAAAGCTCTCATATAGCTTTAAACAGCTCTACTTTACATTTATTCAATTACAGATGGTTTTATAGCTCAAAAATACCTCAAAAAACAGACATTCTGACTGTGAGCGGTGTCGCCTCTCCACAGATCTGACCTGTAACTTGGTCTGGTTTGGTCTCCATGAAAATAGAAAGGTTTAATGCCATACTGTGGAACATTCCAGACAAAGCGATAACATAAAATCTCCACGGAGAAAAGCGTCTGACGGCGCCTCCTCCACCAGAAAAGTCACACCGTTGCACCTTTAAAGCCGTAGTATGTAACTTTTTGCCAGATATTGTTTTCATAATGGATGATTTCAGGGCATTAAAAAAACATAGAAAATCGTGGGTCCAACTGTGAGCGGGCTCGCCTCTCCACAAACCTGACTCTTGGCATAAATCTTATCGATCTCCATGGAGAGTAAGTTCCGAAGTATGGTTTTAACTTTCCGTTTCCATGACCTTCCATCTCCAGAACTTCTGAGAAACACTGAAGAATACGATAATACTATAATACAAGATTCATAAATTTCGTAGTAGCGAATTAGTTTCAGTGGGAGGATCTGGCCTTTCCACAGATCTGACCTGTACCTCTGTCTGGTGGAGCTGCACATTTGTCAGATTTTCAAAAGTCTAAACTGGGACACACCCGGGTTTGGATGTTTGTTATAAATAAAATAGTGAAAAGAGCGTGTGACATTGTGGATTCTCGTGTCTGTCCTGATCTGAGGAGATGCTGACGCTGCATTTTTTAACTTTACCGTCACTCGCAAACACAGATTTCTCTATTTTGGAAAAACAAATGACTGTTGACGGGGATCAGATTAGTCAAAAAATGTGACAGCCCTGGATTAGACCTGATGTAGGCCTGGTTTAGTCTTACTTTAGACCTTGTTTTAGGCCTGATGTTGTCCTAGTTTAGTCTCAGTTTCGTCCTGGTTTAGACCTGGTGTTGTCCTGGTTTAGACCTGGTTTAGACCTGGTTTAGACCTGGTTTAGACCTGGTTTAGACCTGGTTTAGACCTGGTTTAGACCTGGTTTAGACCTGGTTTAGACCTGGTGTTGTCCCGGTTTGGTCCCGGTTTAGACCTTACGTTGTACCAGTTTAGACCCAGTTTAGACCCGGTTTAGACCCGGTTTAGACCCGGTTTAGACCCGGTTTAGTCCTGATATAGCCCTGGTTTAGTCTTAGTTTAGTCCTGGTTTGGATCTGATGTTCTCCTGCTTTAGTCCTGCTTTAGACCTGATATTCTCCTGGTTTAATCCTGGTTTAGTTGTTCGTATAGTCCTGGTTTCGTCTTAGTTTAGTCCTTGTTTTTGGCCTGATGTAGTCCTGGTTTAGTCTTAGTTTAGTCCTGGTTTAGTCTTAGTTTAGTCCTGGTTTAGATCAAACTAGTCCAAAATAGAGACACCTGGGACATTTCTTGTATAAAACTGGGACAAATCAGTGGTTTTGTATAAATCTTCTGGGACAGGGGACACAAAAACCTCAAAACTGGGACTGTCCCGAGTAAATATGTGAACATGTGGTCACCGTAAGATAGAGGTTTAATGTCACACCGTGGAACATTCTAGAAAAGCAAGAACACTGGAGATAAGACGTTAGCAGACCCTCCACCAAAAAAAAAACTTATATAGTGAACTTTTAAGCCTCCAATTAACACATATGACATTATAAACTTAAAACCAATTACTTAAATTTATATTGATACACATAAAAAAGATATTTTAACAGTTTGGGGTTTATAAAGTTAAATGTTTATAATAATGCTCTGTCAAAATCACAAAAACACAATTGTACCTGCTATTTATCCAGCAAGTCAAAACAGATTAATTTTCAACAAAAACAGACCAAACAGAACTATTTAAAACCACAATAACTTTCAAAACACTTCACAGCTCTGATTATGATGTTGTCCTGTTTTTGTTTTAGACCTGGTTTAGACCTGGTTTAGACCTGATGTAGTCCTGGTTTTAGTCCTGGTTTTAGTCCTGGTTTAGACGTGACGTTGTCCTGGTTTAGTCCTGGTTTAGTCCTGGTTTAAGTTGTTCTGGTTTAGACCTGAAGTTGTCCTGGTTTAGACCTGTTTTAGACCTGGCTTAGTCCTGGTTATGTCCTGGATTAGACCTGGTTTTAGTCCTGGTTTAAACCTGGTGTTTTAGTCCTGGATTTTAGTCCTGGTTTAGTCCTGAAGTTGTCCTGGTTTAGTCCTGGTTTAGTCCTGGCTCAGTCCTGGTTTAGACCTGAAGTTGTCCTGGTTTAGACCTGTTTTAGACCTGTCTTAGTCCTGGTTATGTCCTGGTTTTAGACCTGGTTTTAGTCCTGGTTTTAGTCCTGAAGTTGTCCTGGTTTAGTCCTGGTTTAGTCCTGGTTTAGACCTGGTTTAGTCCTGGTTTAGTCTGGTTTAGTTCTGGTTTAGTCTGGTTTAGTCTGGTTTAGACCTGGTTGTCCTGGTTTAGTCCTGGTTTAGACCTGGTTTAGACCTGGTTTAGACCTGGTTTAGACCTGGTTTAGACCTGGTTTTAGTCTTAGTTTATAAAAATCTGATATATTAACACTTTAGACGTTTATAATGTTAAATATTTAGAAAAATGCTCCGTTAAAAACACCGTTTTAGCTGCTCTGTTTTCTGCCATCAATCCAACACGTCAAAACACAACTATTGTCGACAAAAAACAACCAAACACAACGATTTACGACCAGGATAACTCCCCCGAACACCCGACAGCTCTTCATAACTCGTTAAATACATTTTAATGAACCCGCTGACACGTAAACAAAAGCCGGGTTAGCGCAGAATTAACCGAGTAAACTCCCCTCGCCTTGTGCTAACCGTGCTAATGCTAACTCCCTTTCCCCCACAAACAGTCGCTCGGACGCGCCGCTTTCCCCGCTATTCCTCCTCCGATCTCACCTTGTAATACACATCGAACTGGATATTTTCGGGCAGGGAGCGTATGTCTCTTCTGGAGCGGCTGTAGTTGTCCACCACGGCAGAAATCGCCGTGTTGTAGAGAGATTCTGGGATCCACTCCAGCTCCGCGGCCGCCATGTTGTTCTCCGTCTCCCGAAAAGCAGCAGCAGCAGCGGCGCCGGGCCCCCCGACAAAAACCTCCTGCTCCCCGGCTACATTCACTGCGAAACGGGCCCCAGAGCTCCGCGGTGCAGCATCGGCCCCAGGGAGCAGTGAAAACCGAGCTATAAGGGGTGTTTTAAGGCGGATTTGCCACGGTTTTGCCTCATCGCTGCGCCCGATCGGCACAAACAGCAGTCACAGCAGCAGGAGCGGAGGGAGGGGGCGCCAGGTTGGAGCGCAGAAACACGCGGAAAGGCGACGGAGGAAACAAGTTTGGCTCAGACTAAAAGATAAACTTTATTGATCCGCAAGGGGAATTGTTTGGACACCGTGAAGCAGACATCTGGGGTGAGCAGGCGTCCCTGTTTACCCGGGACAGGCGCAGTTTTGAGCCCTGTGTCCCCGATTTGTCCCAGTTTTATGCAAGAAATGTCCCAGGTGTCACTGTTTTTGAGCAGTTTGAGCTAAACCAGGACTAAACTAAGAAGATTAAAACAGGACTAAACTATGACAACATCAGGTCTAAACCAGGACTAAACTGAAGACTAAACCAGGACAACATCAGGTCTAAACCAGGACAACATCAGGTCTAAACCAGGACAACATCAGGTCTAAACCAGGACAACATCAGGTCAAAACCAGGACAACATCAGGTCTAAACCAGGACAACATCAGGTCAAAACCAGGACAACATCAGGTCTAAACCAGGACAACATCAGGTCTAAACAGGACAACATCAGGTCTAAACCAGGACAACATCAGGTCTAAACCAGGACAACATCAGGTCTAAACCAGGACTAAACCAGGACAACATGAGCTCTAAATCAGGATTAAACTGAAGACTAAACCAGGTCTAAAACAGGACTAAACCAGGGCAACATCAGGTCTAAACCAGGACTAAACTGAGATTGACTACATCAGATCTAAACTAAACCTAAATGAGGACTACATCAGGTCTAAACCAAAACTACATCAGGACTAAACCAGGACAACATCAGGTTTAAACCCGGGATTAAACCAGGACTAAACTAAGACTAAACCAAAACTAAACCAGGACAACATCAGGTCTAAACTAAGACTAAACCAGGACTAAACCAGGACAATGTCAGGACTTAACTAGGACTAGACCAGGACAACATCAGGTCTAAACCAGGACCAAAACAGGACTAAACCAGGATTACTTCAAATCTAAACCAGGACTAAACTAAGACTAAACCAGGACTACATCAGGACTAAACCAGAACTAAAACTGGACTAAACCAGGACAACATCAGGTCAGAAATGTCCCAGTTGTCCCTCTTTTTGACCAATTTTTTACCCACCAATAGTAAAGAGCGTGTTAGATTGTCATTTGTTAAACTAAAACACAGAAAACTGTAATTAAAATTTATCCCAACACAAGTTGTATAGTTGTAGGGAGTATTATCTGTTCCATAAGGGTGAGTCGTTGTGCAGTTGTAGGGATTATTATCTCTTACATAAGGGTGAGTTGTCGTACAGTTGTAGGGAGTATTATCTGTTACATAAGGGTGAGTTGTCGTACAGTTGTAGGGAGTATTACCTGTTACATAAGGGTGAGTTGTACAGTTGTAGGGAGTATTATCGTATGAATATAGTATGTATCTCTCACTGTTTGAGTAGAGCTGTAGGAGCCTGTTGGAGAATTATGTGTGTGCAAAAATATTGTATTTTTATTTATATTTTGCAAAATTATTTTGTGTTAGAGCTACAATTATGTTGACATTTTTACAGTTCTTTGCACAAACTTAGTGGACTTAGTGAACTTTTAGTATCGCAGCCATGTTTTATTAGGTTCTTTTTTCAGACCAAGAGTTTGTTTTGATACATGACAGTTTGTTTTGCTCCCTGCGTCTTCCTCAGAGTCTCGTGAAGTTGCTGTGTCGTGTCGTTCACCTGATTTAAACAGGTTTTGGCGCCGTCTTCGTACCGGTGGAGGCAGGACGACAGCGCCACCTGCAGTCCGACTTCCTCAGGACAGTATCCCAGGTGTGTGAGAGTAAAAAAGCCCCTCGTCCCGGTTTATCGTCCCGTGGGCATGTTTCGGGATTTCGATTGTCTCTTTAATCCAGCGACGGTGTTTGTTTTCCTCTGTACCAGTGATGTTTGCTCCGTCCCAGTCCAGAATGTGCTTCTCTCTTTTACAGCGTCACAAACAGTCGATTTGAGTTTTTCCTGTTCTGCTTTGTGTTTTGTTGCTCGTGTTTCGCCTTCGCTGTTTCCTTCTCGCATTCTGTCAAGGAAAATAGGACAGGAAACATATATTGTGAACTTATGCAACCGTGTGTACAGCATGTGTTGTAACTATTCTCAGAAATATAAATCAAATGTATTTTTTTCATAACCAACCACAAGAGTCTCAGTTTTTTTATCCATATGAATTGCATTTTGTTAAATTAATCTCACATACCTTTATGGAAATGTTGTTTCTTTATCATTTTTCAAATTTTTTTTGTTTCTATCTCCAAGGAAAATGTTCCAAAGTATGATTTTAACTTCCTATTTCCTTCAAAATCATGCAGGGGACGTACCAACTCCAGAAAGTTACACACTGGAGCTTTAATTTATTCGTTTTTGTCCACGATCTGATTAAAGGGAATAATCAAGCTCCTCATTTCACTCCAAAAATACACACAAATAAACAAAATAAGTCAACATTTTACTAGATTATGTTGATAAGAACATTAAGAGTTTGCGTCTCGGTCGTTTTTGGGTCTCCGGTCTGGAATAAACCTGAGAAAAATGTGCCGCTTTCCAAAAACCGGAGCCCAAAGTCGCTGTAAAGAAGTGGACTTGGCAACGGCAGCAGCAGACAGACAGAGGCACGCAGCGACGCTCTGACGTCACGTGCAGCCCGAGCAAAAAAGTCTCTCCAAGGAAGACTTATCCAGTTTCAAGCGGTTATTTCTAGATTTTTGGAGAGATTTAGATTCAAATGTGGTTTATAATTAGGAAAATGCCTCCTCTACTTGTGTAATTTTAATCACTGTGGCTTCATATTAAAGGCCTAACGAAATATTTGTTTGTGATCTGATAATTAGATTTGCAATTATAACAATTCAGATTATGATTTTTGTTCATTTGGATTTTGTTTTATTTTTGGTTCAATTTGCACTAAATCTGATCTCTGTGTGTTCACATACGGCAGATTTAATCCTGATTTGTTCTGGTTTAAGTTCTGTTTTTTCTTTTTCTTGTTTTTGCTTCTCTTGTTTCAGGTCTGGAGGAAAATCTAGCTGGTTTAGACCTGGTTTAGACCTGGTTTAGACCTGGTTAAGTTCTGCTTTACTGTCATCCTGGTCTAGTCCTGGTCTAATCCTGGTTTGGACCTGGTTTAGTTCTGGTTTAGTCCTGGTTTTTGTATTTTTGCTTCTTTTGTTTTAGGTCTGGAACAAAGTGGTTAGTTTCTTCCAAAGCTGTTTTTGAGCTGGTTTAGTCCTGGTTTAGTTCTGCTTTACTGTAGTCCTGGTCTAGTCCTGGTCTAGTCCTGGTCTAGTCCTGGTCTGGTCCTGGTCTGGTCCTGGTCTGGTCCTGGTTTTTGTTTTTTTGCTTCTCTTGTTTCAGGTCTAGAACAAAGTGATCAGTTTCTACCAAAGTCGTTTTTGAGCTGGTTTAGAACTGTTTTAGTCCTGGTTTAGTTCTCCTCTACTATTGTCCTGGTTTAGTCCTGGTCTGGTCCTGGTCTGGTCCTGGTCTAGTCCTGATCTGATCCTGGTTTGGTTCCTGGTTTAGTCCTGTTTTTTCTTTTTCCTTTTCTCGTTTTTGCTTCTCGTGTTTCAGGTCTGGAGTAAAGTCTGGCTGGTTTAGCTGGTTTAGACCTGGTTTAGTTCTGCTTTACTGAAGTCCTGGTCTGGTCCTGGTCTGGTCTTAGTCTAGTTCTGATCTGGTCATGGTTTGGTCCTGGTTTAGTCCTGATTTTGGTGCTGGTTTAGTTCTGTTTTTTGCATCTCTCGTAAGGCGTTCTGGGTCTGAAGTGGTCAGTTTTCCAGTATCCAAGGAGCTTTAGACCTGGTTTAGTTCTGCTTTACTCTAGTCCTGGTCTGGTCCTGGTCTAGGTCCTGGTCTGGTCCTGGTCTGGTCCTGGTCTGGTCCTGGTCTGGTCCTGGTCTGTCCTGGTCTGGTTCTGGTTTAGTCCTGTTTTTCTGTTTTGGTTTTAGTTTTTTTTGTTTTTTTGCTTATTTGTTTCAGATCTGGAACAAAGTGGTTAGTTTCTTCCAAAGCTGTTTTTGAGCTGGTTTAGTCCTGGTTTAGTCCTGGTTTAGTCCTGGTTTAGTCCTGGTCTAGTCCTGCTTTAATTCTGCTTTACTGTAGTCCTGGTATGGTCCTGGTCTAGTCTTGGTCTGGCCCTGATTTGGTCCTGATTTGGACCTGGTTTAGTCCTGGTTTAGTTCTGTTTTACTGTAGTCCTGGTCTAGTCCTGGTTTAGACCTGGTTTAGTTCTGGTTTAGTCTTGGTTTATGTTTTGCTTTTTGGTTCTTTTGTTCAAAGGGGTCAGTATTTATCAAACCCATTTTTGAGCTGTTTTAGACCCGGTTTAGACCTGGTTTAGTTCTGCTTTACTGTAGTCGTGGTCTGGTCCTGGTCTAGTTCTGATCTGGTCCTGGTTTGGTCCTGGTTTAGTCCTGTTTTTTCTTTTTCTCTTATTTGCTTCTCATGTTTCAGGTCTGGAACAAAGTCTAGCTGGTTTAGCTGGTTTAGACCTGGTTTAGTTCTGCTTTACTGTAGTCCTTGTCTAGTCCTGGTCTGGCCCTGGTTGAGTCCTGGTTGAGTCCTGGTTGAGTCCTGGTTTAGTTCTGGTTTATTCTTGGTTTAGTCCTGGTTTAGTTCTGGTTTAGACCTGGTTTAGACCTGGTTTAATCCTGTTTAAGTTCTGGTTTGGACCAGGTTTAGTCCTGGTTTAGTCCTGGTTCCTGGTTTAGTCCTGGTTCAGTCCTGGTTTAGTCCTGGTTTAGTCCTGGTTTAGACCTGGTTTAGTCCTGGTTCAGTCCTGGTTAAGACCTGGTTTAGACCTGGTTTAGTCCTGGTTTAGACCCGGTTTACTCCTCGTTTAGTCCTGGTTTAGTCTTGGTTTAGACCTGTTTAAGTTCTGGTTTAGACCTGGTTTAGTCCTGGTTTAGTCCTGGTTTAGACCTGGTTTAGTCCTGGTTTAGACCTGGTTCAGTCCTGGTTTAGACCTGGTTTAGACCTGGTTTAGTCCTGTTTAAGTTCTGGTTTAGACCCGGTTTACTCCTGGTTTAGTCCTGGTTTAGTTCTGGTTTAGTCCTGGTTTAGTCCTGGTTTAGTCCTGGTTTAGTTCTGGTTTAGTCCTGGTTTAGTCCTGGTTTAGTTCTGGTTTAGACCTGGTTTAGTCCTGGTTTAGTCCTGGTTTGGGTTTTCGCTCTGATCTCAAACATGTTTATAAGTTTCAATGAACAAAACAAATGCAAGAGAATGAAGACAAGTTATTTTTAAAGCCAAACTGTGGAACTTTCCAGGCAAAACGATGCTTGGGTTTCACAATGATGAAAAATGAGGACCGTTGCCATAGAAACTAACAGTTAAAAACGACATATCCTGTCTTTTGAACGGTGAAAAGTCCTCAAACTGTCACCTAGAACAGGAACCTGAACCTCGTGAACAGGATCAGGACACAAATAAACAACAGCAGGTTTCAGAGCCTCCGGCACAAAGCGACACAGTGATGATTGTCAAAGACTCGTCCATTTAACAAACTGAACACGAAATGTCAAAATAGTTAAAGTTTGATTTGAAAAATGAGAAAATATTTATATTGTTTAAGAAATGTATTATTTTTTTTCAACCCATTAATCACAAAGGACATAGATACTGATGATGCGCTCGCTGTATTGGGCGTTGTGGTGAAGAGGAGCTGGAGTCTGGATTTACCGTCCGTCTCCGTTCCTCCTCTCACCTCTGATCATGAACTCTGGGAAATGACCAAAAGGACGAGATTGCAGATATAAGCGACACAAATGAGTTTCCTCCGCAGGGCGTCTGGGCGCTGCTTTAGAGACAGAGTGAGGAGCTCAGTCACACGGGAGGAGCTCAGAGTAGAGCCGCTGCTCCTCCACGTGCAGAGGAGCAGCTGAGGGGAGGACGTCTGTTCTGATGTCTCCTGGACGTCTCCCTCTGGAGGTGTTCATGTCCCACCGGGAGGAGGCCCCGGGGAAGATCCAGGACACACTGGAGGGACTCTGTCTCTGGTCTGGCCTGGGAACACCTCGGGTTCCTGTTAGGTTTATCTAAACATTAAAAACAAGAAGAAAGACAAGAGATTAATTCAGTTTTACTCATGAGGAGAACGGGCAGAGAGTGGGCATCAAAACCAACAGTCTCCACACGTTCTGATGACTCAAGGCCGTTCTCCTCTTTTTATTTCATTAGGAGGCCCTAGTTACAGAATGATAATTCTCAAGGGGAAGGGGAAACAGCAAAGACATAATAAGAAACTGGTGCAGCTAAGCATAGTACAAACACATAAAACATGATTAACAATCAGGAGGTGCCTTAGGTCAGACACCATCATAACTCTTCATGTGTGACAGTGGGAGTTGGCTTCATGTGAGGAATCATCTGGAGGTTCACTAGAGCGACAGGACACTGCACACAGTTGTCAAACACACAGAGGTTATTCAACAAGTGACAAGTGATTGGTACATTATAAATCAAAGAATTGTAGTACATAAATGGTTAACTCATAGGCCTAGAATATCACACAAGTATTTAGCAAATATGGGATAATAAAATTATTCTGACAGTTCCTCAGAGGAGCTGGAGGAAGTGTCTGTGGAGAGGGAAGTCTTGGAGTCCCTGCTCAGACTGATGCCCCCATGACCCGACCCCAGGTAAGAGGAAGAAAATGGATGGATGGATATTGATACTGCAGCAGATGTTATTATAATAAAAAATAAAAAATTGGGTTTTATTTTATCTTTAGCCCCTCCCTGAACAGTCACCTTCTCGTGGTGGAGGGTTTGAGGGCCCGAATGATCCCGGGAGCTGTGTTTTTGGGGGCTTCACGCTCCTGGTCATCAAAGACAAACAGGTCCTGGGGAACAGGTTCAGAAGCTCTTATGACGAGCAGAAGAAGGAGGCCAGTTACGTCGCCAGTCCGGGCTGGTGCAGAGATCAGGGCGGCGGTCGAAGGCGTGGACCTCGACGACCGGATCTCCAGACGTGGAGACTGACTCTGGGGACACGGAATATTACCGACTCCATATATTTGGCCTCACCTCCACGCACAGTCTGGGCTCTGGACTCTCCATTTGTCTGGCGTCACCTGGAGTATTTTATCTTTAGAATCATTTTATTCTCTAGACTTTTTCTAGAACATGTAAGACGTGTTTGTTCCGTGTTGTTTGTTCGTCTCGTCAGGTGTGTCAGTTGTTTTTACAGATAGAATCAAACATCTGTCTTTCACATCTGTGCTCAGACGTGCCACACCTTGTATTGTTTTAACTCCACATGTTCATCCTGAGGCGAAGTGGAGTTTCACAAGGACCTGGAGCCGCGTCTGGAGCTGCTGCTCGGTGAAAAACTGGACCTGGTGGGATGAGACGGTTCGGTCTGGTCCCTCAGGAGAAAAGTGACGTGACAAAAAGTGATGTTCTGTCTTTCATGTGTAAATAAAAAAATAAATACTGTGAGTTCAGAAGCTCTGGAGGAGAGACTTGGAACTCAGGGGACTGTGTCTGTGACCAGAACTGTCCAAGACCTGTCCAAGACCTGTCTCTGTCTCTGTCTCTGTCTCTGTCTCTGTCTCTGTCCCTGTCCCTGTCTGTCTCTGTCTTGACCCTCTTCTGACTCTGTCCTGTCCCTGTCTTGTCTCTGTCTCTGTTTCTGTCCTGTTTCTGTCTCTGTCTCTGTTCTTCTCTCTGTCTCTGTTTCTGTCCCTGTCTTGTCCCTGTCCTGTCTCTAACTCTCTCTCTGTCTCTGTCTTGTCTCTGCCCCTGTCTTTTCTCTGTTCTGTCTCTGTCTCTGTCCTGTCCCTGTCCCTGTCTTTGTCTCTGTCCTTTCTCTGTCCCTGTTCTGTCTCTGTCCCTGTCTTGTCTCTGTCTCTGTCTCTGTCTTGTCTCTGTCCCTGTCTGTGTCTCTGTCTCTGTCTCTGTCTCTGTCTCTGTCTCTGTCTTGTCTCTGTCTTGTCTCTGTCTCTGTCTCTGTCTCTGTCTCTGTCTCTGTCTCTGTCTCTGTCTCTGTCTCTGTCTCTGTCTCTCTGTCTCTGTCTCTGTCTGTCTCTGTCTTGTCTCTGTCTCTGTCTTGTCTCTGTCTGTCTCTGTCTCTGTCCCTGTCTTGTCTCTGTCTCTGTCTCTGTCTCTGTCTCTGTCTCTGTCTCTGTCTGTCTCTGTCTCTGTCTCTGTCTCTGTCTCTGTCTCTGTCTCTGTCTCTGTCTTGTCTCTGTCTCTGTCTCTGTCCTCTGTCTTTGTCTCTGTCTTGTCTCTGTCTCTGTCTTTGTCTCTGTCTCTGTCTCTGTCTCTGTCTTGTGTCTCTGTCTTGTCTCTGTCTCTGTCTGTCTCTGTCTTGTCTCTGTCTTGTCTGTCTCTGTCTCTGTCTCTGTCTTGTGTCTCTGTCTTGTCTCTGTCTTGTCTGTCTCTGTCTCTGTCTCTGTCTCTGTCTCTGTCTTGTCTCTGTCTCTGTCTTGTCTCTCTGTCTCTCTGTCTCTGTCTCTGTCTCTGTCTCTCTGTCCTCTGTCTTGTGTCTCTGTCTTGTGTCTCTGTCTTGTCTCTGTCTCTGTCTTGTCTCTGTCTCTGTCTTGTCTCTGTGTCTGTCTCTGTCTTGTCTCTGTCTCTGTCTCTGTCTTGTCTCTCTGTCTTGTCTCTGTCTCTGTCTCTGTCCCTGTCCTGCCCCTGTCCCTGTCTTGAGTAAAAGTTGTTGAGTTGTGGTTCCTGTGAATAAACTAGACTGAATAAAATAAATAAAATACCATCTTACAAATCACTTAAAATTGAAAAATCCTCTAGTGTGCGACGATTTTAAGTCTGAAGTCACGAAAAGTCTGATTTAGTTGTGTTTCTTTCTCCGCTCCTTCACATATGACTCAGTTTGTCTCATTTTTATGTTTTTTTGTCCAATTATATTCACTTAAAATCACAAATATATCTACACATTTACTCTTTAAATGTCCTCAATTACACAAAGTTGATTATTGTTAACTTTAAACCATGTTATAAAGTTGTTACCTTCTCAAAAACAAACCTGAGTTGTGTTTTGTTTCATTTCATTCACACATATTTGAGTCTCCAGACGCTCTGTTCCACCTTGTGATGTCATGAAGTGGTAATTTTTAAGTGAACAGCCCATTTTACCTTTAGTTGAGATTGAGATCAAAACTAGAGTAGACACCAAAAACCATTGATTTGTCCCAATTTTATACAAAAAATGTCCCTATTTTTGTCCAATCTGATCCGTGCCGAACAGTAAACAGAGACATAAACTGACATTAGTTTTGGTAAAATACAGAAAAGCTGCTTAAAAACGACCAAAACACAAAGAAAATGTGACTGAACTGACCAAGCGCAGAACGATTTTCCTTTTCCTCGTTTACTCGTTTCACAGTTTTACTATAACCGACCATCACAAACTGACTTTTTAAAGACCAAAGGTGAATTTTCCATAACTTTAAGGCCCCCACATGTGTAGAATTGTTCAGACTTTTAGGGTTAAATCAAATTTGAAATGTGAACTCTTTCCACTCACCTGATGGTTTGGGATTATAGTTTTTTAACATTCAAAATCCCGTCAGTGCTTTTACTGTCGTCTCTTTTAAACAAAAGGCTCAGACGTTCAGAAGTAACGTATAAAGCTGTGATTTTTATATTTTATTACTTATATTTCTATTTTATTTTTACTTGTACTTTTACATTTATTCAATTTTGTCTTATTTGACATGTCTCTTGCTATCTTTTTTTTTTTTTGCTACTTATTTAGAATTTATTATTAACATTTATATTTTTCCTTTCTTTTTTCTTTTATCATATTGTGATGTGTGAGCTCCTGTGTCCAAATAATTTCTCTTGTGGATCAATAAAGTTGGTCAAAGTCTAAATCTAAGTAAGTAAAATAATCATAACAGCCTAATGCTAATTTAACACAACGCTGTAGTTGAGTGAAAGAGAAAGTTAGTCTTTAACGTTAAAAACTTGAATTGATTTTACAAAATTCCATGACTACGACGGAGTATAAGGGTCAGATAAAAAAAAAAAAAACATGCTGGCGCTACGAGAATAAAGTCGTAACATTTCGACATTAAAGTCGCAATATTACAAAGTCGAAGTTAAAATAAAGTCATAATATTATGAGAATAAAGTTATAATATTACGAGAATGAAGTCGTAATAAAATCAAAGTCAAAGTGAAAAATGCGGCAGAAGAAGAAACTTGTTTTTCGATATAAAACCAAAAATAAGAAAACGAAAAAAACAACAATTTTCTTCTTTATTTGCGCCTCTGGACTGAATCAGGACTAAATCAGGACTAAACCAGGACTAAACGAGGTCCAAGACCAGACCGGGACTGAGACCAGGAGTTAGACAAGGACTGAGACCAGGATTGAGACCGGGAACAGGAGCAGGACTGAGACTGGGACTGAGACCAGGACTAGACCAGGACTGAAAACAGTTTAGTCCTGGTTTAGTCCTGATTCAATCCTGGTTCAGTCCTGGTTCAGTCCTGGTTCAGTCCTGGTTCAGTCCTGGTTCAGTCCGTATGTGGCGCATTAGTCCTGCATCGCATTTTAAAGTCACAGAAACGCCGTTTCCCATTTCCGTGACTTAAACCAGGACTAAACCAGGATTAAACTGTTTTCAGTCCTCGTCTGGTCCCGGCCTCAGTCCTGGTCTGGTCTCGGTCTGGTCCCAGTCTCAATCCTGGTCTTAGTTCTGGTTTGGTTCTGGACCTGATTCAGTCCTGGTTCAGTTGAATGAACGAATGATACACGGATTCTTCTCCTTTACAAAATGCTCCAAATTCTCCACAGCTCCAGACTCAGACTCATTCAGACTTTCTGAGCAGCCGATATTCTCATAATATTACAACTTTATTTTGACTATGACTTTATTCTCATAAAATTACTAACTTTATTCTTGTAAGTTTTACGACTTTATTCTCGTAAAATTACGACTTTTTCTGGCTTCGACTTTATTCACATAATATTACGACTTTAATGTCGAAATGTTACGACTTTATTCTCGTAGCGCCAGCATTTTTAATTTTTTTTTTAATCTAACCCTTATCCTCCGTCATGACTTCTCCATATCTGTAAAATAACATTTTAAATTTCCATGACTTTTCCAGGATTTCCATGACCGTGGGAACCGTGTTTATTGCTGTCTTTCCTCGCTCTGCTCGCTGGGGGTCGCTGTCGGACCGCGGTCAGCTGTTGCAGGGGCGGATGTGACGTCACGTGTCGGAGCATGCCTACTCCGCTCCGAACAAAAACAAAAGACGCGAGTCCAAAACACAGTCCGCGCGCTCTTTATGCACGCAAAACCCGCAAAACCCGCAAAACGCCGCAAAAACACGCCACTTCTTCACGCAGCCGCAGCAGCCATGGAGCACGGACTGATCCTGCGAATGAGCGTGTCCACGGACCAGGGCGGCAGGAAGTACATGGAGGACCTGACCGACGTGGTGGTGGAGCCGGAGCCGGGGGAAGGCGAGCCGAAGTCGGGCGAGTGTGAGGAGAACAGCGGGGAGGACAGCGCGGAGGATTCAGCGGATAAAAGCGCACGGGAGGAGCGCGGGGACCGGAAAACTGCGGAATCAGCGCAAACTGAAGCACGGACGAGCCCCGCTTCATGTAAATAGTGTTTTGTTTTTTTATAGTAAATGTAGTTTTTGTGTTTACATGCACTTTCTGCGCTGTCCACGCTCAAAAACACCTCAACTACTGCTCTGTCCTTCATAAAAGTACAGTTTATTTGGAGTTACTTCACTAATCGACACAATTTAAACAAAATATTAAATTAAATCCTGTTTTGTTTTGGTTTAGTTCTGTTTTTGTTCGTTCGTTTGTTTTGTTTTAGTCCTGGTTTGGACCTTGTTTGGAAGTGATTTAGTCCTGGTTTAGTCCTGGTTTAGTCCTAGTTTAGTCCTGTTTGGACCTGGTTTGGTCCTAGTTTAGTCCTGTTTGGTCCTGGTTTGGTCCTGGTTTAGTCGTGGTTTAGACCCTGATTCAGTCCCTGGTTCAGTCCCTGGTTTAGTCTTGGTTCTGTCCCGGTTTAGTCCCTGGTTTAGTCCTGGTTTAGTCCTGGTTTAGTCTTGGTTCTGTCCTGGTTCAGCTCTGGTTTAGTCCTGGTTCAGTCTCTGGTTCAGTCTCTGGTTCAGTCCTGGTTTAGTCCCTGGTTCAGCTTTGGTGTAGTCCTGGTTTAGACCTTGTTTTGACCTAGTTTAGACCTGGTTTAGACCTTGTTTGGACCTTGTTTGGATCTTGTTTTGACCTGGTTTAGTCCTGGTTTAGACCTAGTTTGGACCTTGTTTAGACCTGGTTTGGATCTGGTTTAGACCTGGTTTAGTCTTGGTTTAGTCCTTGTTTGGACCTTGTTTATACCAGGTTTATACCTGGTTTAGACCTGGTTTAGTCCTGGTTTGGACCTTGTTTGGACCTGATTTAGACCCTGTTTGGACAGAGACCAAGACAAGACCGAGACTTTTAAAGACCAAGACAAGACCAAGACCACGGTCCATCGAGACCAAATCCAGACCATCTTTGATATTTTCAACATTTATTTATATCTTACAGTTATTTTGACACAAATATATCAATGTTTTTAATGTTTAATGTTAAAATTTAACAGTAGTGTCAGACCTCAAGACCAAGACAAGACCGAGTCCAAATGCGGTCAAGTCTGAGACAAAACCAAGACTGTTAAAAAACTGTCTGGAGGAAAAGACCGGTCTATGACTATGACACACCCCCTCCTCCAAGTGAACAGCTCCTTTTACCTTTAGTTCTGTAGAGATTTGGCAGTTTCAGGGCTGGAATTATCTCAGAGATTCTAGTGAAGGTGTGTGGAGTTTAAAAACGCAGAGAAGCACTTCCTGTTTTACCACATGACATCACAAGGTGGAATCGAACTCAGCCTAAATGTTCAGGGTTTGTGCGTTGAACATGAGCGAATGAAACAAAACACGACTCCAGGTCAAATCAGAAAATGACTTTGTGTTTCATTTGTTTTCTCTCCGCAGCCGAACCCTCCAGCCCCTCCCCCTGCCCGTCCTCCCCTCGCCGCTCCGTCGCCTTCTTCGCCGTGTTCGATGGCCACGGCGGCAGAGAGGCGGCGCAGTTCGCCCGGGATCACCTCTGGAACTTCATAAAGAAGCAGCGCGGGTTCTGGTCCCGGTCCGACCGCGAAGTCTGCGCCGCCATCAGGAAAGGGTTCATCGCCTGCCACCTCGCCATGTGGAAGAAGCTCCGTGAGTGTTTTTCAGAAGTCAAATCTCATGCAAAAAAGTCAAATCAGGTCCCACAACAACATCTGCCTCCGTTTTACACTGGTGCTTTTTATTTGCAACAGTTTTATCTATTTATATTAGGGTCATTCCGCGCCGTTTCACCAAATGGCCCACGCACTTCGATCTCAAAAAGTTTTGAAAAAAATATCAAATAGACCCTCACTATCATGTACCAACCCTGTGAAGTTTTAGTCATTTTCCATCATTACTTTTCAAGTTACAGCTCATTTAGTGAAGGGAGGATGTGTCAGTTTTCAGGCCCAAAATTGCGTCATTTTTTTCTCGGCCGTTTTCACAGGTCGATATCTGTGTAAGTATCACACACAGAGGGCTGAAATTTTGTAGACTTGTGCTCCTCTACTCTGTGTTCAAATAACATCTGTCGAAAGTTTGGTATCTCAACTCATGGTCATTTTATATGAACTTAAAAATGAAAAAAAAAAAACTAATTTATTTCCATGGCGTACCATTTTTAGCCCCTTTTTAAACCTACTTGTAGGTGTCAGAGACCCTTAAATTTTTTTGATAATCAAGATTTGTACTAGGACTGTTAAAAAAATCACCAAATGTTGAAAATTTGAAATGTGTTATGTGTGAGAGGTCCTGTTAAAAACAAGAAAAAGCAACATGGTCCGATTTTCACATGTCATTTATGGCATGTGGGCAGTGATGAAAACATTTTGTATGATTTTTCTCTGAAAGACCAGAAAAAGACCTTTCATATGGTACCAAACATATGTATTTTATGAAGCTCCTTCAGTTTGTAATTGTATCTCTTTCAAACAAAAATTATTCCAGATTTTTTCATCACTACCCACATGCCATAAATTAAATGTGAAAATCAGACCATGTTGCGTTTTCTTGTTTTTAACAGGACTCTCACACATAACACATTTCGTATTTTCAACATTTGGTGATTTCTTTTAACAGTCCTAATACAAATCTTGATTCTCAAAAAAATTTAAGGGTCTCTGACACCTACAAGTAGGTTTAAAAAGGGGCTAAAAATGGTACGCCACGGAAATGAACAAGTTTATTTTTTCTTTTTTAAGTTCATATAAAATGACCATGAGTTGAGATACCAAACTTTTGAGAGATGTTATTTGAACACAGAGTAGAGGAGCACAAGTCTACAAAATTTCAGCCCTGTATGTGTGATACTTACACAGATATCGACCTGTGAAAACGGCCGAGAAAAAATTATGCGATTTTGGGCCCGAAAATTGACACATCCTCCCTTCACTAAATGAGCTATAACTTGAAAAGTAATGAAAAGTAATGATGGAAAATGATCACAGGGTTGGTACATGAGAGTAACGGACCAGCTGGTAATTTTTTCTAAATTAAAAAAAAACACGATGCGTGAGATTTTCTGGAAATTTGATAAAATGGCGTGGAATGACCCAATAACACATTTCTTAAACAAAGCAGTTTCCAAGTTCTGCACAATACAAATAAAAAAATACAACGGAAATCTAAAATAAAGCTTTATTTAATTGAGAAGTAGCAATCACCAAAATATCTAAATATCGATATATCGTATCGTTTAATGTGATGATACAGTATCGATATCGTGGGCTGCTGTATCGATATATCACCAAGAGGATTTTTTGGTTTATTTTACTGAATTATTTTGTTACAGCTACAGTTTTGTTGTTCGTTCAGAGGAAGGAAACTTGTTTATGCGACACATGTGACATTTTCACAGTTTATGATTGCGTTTCATTTAGAGCCTGTATTGTAAAGTATTATTACCTCCATCTGAAAAAGCGAGAGTCGTTTTACAGTCTGTGCTTGTGCTACAGTAGTAAGAAGGTTAAAAAATAGACTAGTAAAATACTCGTCTTTACTTCACTCATAGCCTGACGTAATATTTTGCTTCTCTGGAAATCTGCTGCAGTTCCTTTAATATCTCAGTGGTTTCGTGATGTCTTAGGATTTCTTAAATTAGAAAAGATTAAAATTGCAACCAAGGGCAATGAAGAAAGTTTTGCACAGACATGGGGTTTCTTATGAAATACTGCAAATCATTAAAAACTCTGCCTTTAGACTAATAGACTGATCCTCCCCCACCATCCTACTGTCTTCTTTTCTCTCTCTCTTCCTCTCTCGCTTTACCTTTTTTATTTTATTAATTTAATTAAATTTTTTATTTTTCACCATCATAATTATTATTATTTTTTGATTGTTTGCCTTTGCTTCATTTTGATAATATTTGGATTTGGTATTTATTATTAAGATGGTGTTTTCCTTTTGAAAATAAGAAAAATATAAAAGGAAAAATAATTGTGATTTGTAAATCTTGTATGATATATTGTGATTCCTTAATAAAAATATATATATAAAAAAAAAAAATAGACTAGTCGGAAAACGTTGTCAATTAATGAGCTGTGCAAGACAACCAGGCAGGTTTGGGGTTGTTACGGACAAGTAAGAACAGAAGTCCCTTTAAATTAATTATTATGGTGCAGCATCAGCCAAGTCTTTATTTCTAGAGCAGCTTTCACAGATAATAAATCACAAAATGCTTTACAAAGTGCAATAAATAACATGTACAAGAACAAGAAAAGCTCGTCTAAACAGCCGGGTCTTGAGCTGCTTTTTAAAATAGTCAATAGAGGCTGAGAACAGGGCGTGTTTTAAATCGGGTCTTTGGGATCATCAAGAGGCCCTGACCTGAGGACTGGAGGGTGTGACCTCAGGTGTAGGAGCACAGAAAGTCACTGATCACCAGTGAATGGTGACTTGTTCCATCCTCTGAGCGCGTTGGTCAGATGGTCCAGAGGCTTCGTCCTCCATGTGCTAGGTCCAGACGGGGGCGAGTAAGACCAGTGCGCAGTGACTGGGTCCGAGCGGATTCCGTGCGGGGAAAGAGAGAATGCGCTGTGGACTGCAGGTCCGGGTGGCTGCTCCGGTCCTCTGTGCTCGAGGACTGCGGCTGGTTCTGAGGTGGTGCAACATCTGGACAGAAGCGTGAGTCTGTTACTGCAATGGAGTCGTCCGAAGGCGCATATTGCGTCATTTCAGGCAGAAGAGACCCGTATCGTCTCCCATGATGCATTTGGAATAGTTCGTTTGGACCTGAGTTCACGTTCACACCTGAGGAACCACATCAGAGTTTTGCATTTGGTGCAGATTCAAGTGAACCGAGACCCTCTTTTTTTGAGGTCTCGGTCCGTTTGATTTAGTGCAGGTCCGAGTCCGATAGAAGCTTTCACACCAACGAAAACGAAGTGAACTAAGAACTTTTGGTTAGATTGGACCAGTAGGTGCACCAAATACTGTCTGTGTGAAAGAACCTGAGACCTCACAGAGACACGTTAGTTTCCTGTAGTGACTTTATCTGACATGAATAATCAGAGCCTTCCTGATTTGCTGATTGTGATTTTGATTAGATTTCAATTATTTAATCAGTCTAAAGCTCTGCCCACTGTTCTGATGATACTGCACCTTTAAATCATGATAAAGAAGGACTTTGAAATAAGAGTTTAGGACGAGTCATTTGAAAAAACTCTTTGTGGAGTTATTATCTGTGTAAACAAACCAACAGAGTGATGAGAGACGAGCTTCTGTGTCATCACCACCAGTCCTGACAAATGATCAGACCAGGACTGAACCAGGGACTAAACCAGAGACTAAACCAGGGACTAAACCAGGGACTAAACCAGAGACTAAACCAAAGACTAAACCAGAGACTAAACCAGGGACTAAACCAGAGACTAAACCAGGGACTAAACCAGGACTAAACCAGGGACTAAACCAGGGACTAAACCAGGGACTGAACCAGAGACTGAACCAGAGACTGAACCAGAGACTGAACCAGAGACTGAACCAGGGACTAAACCAGGGACTAAACCAGGGACTAAACCAGGGACTAAACCAGAGACTAAACCAGAGACTAAACCAGGGACTAAACCAGGGACTAAACCAGAGACTAAACCAGAACTGAACCAGAGACTAAACCAGAGACTAAACCAGAGACTAAACCAGAGACTAAACCAGGGACTAAACCAGGGACTAAACCAGGGACTAAACCAGAGACTAAACCAGAGACTAAACCAGAGACTAAACCAGAGACTAAACCAGACGACTAAACCAGACACTAAACCAGAGACTAAACCAGGGACTAAACCAGAGACTAAACCAGGGACTAAACCAGGGACTAAACCAGGGACTAAACCAGGGACTAAACCAGGACTGAATCAGGCTTTAAACATGTACAGTTGCTGTGGTAATGACAATAATAAAAGAAACAAGAAGTAAAATTTGTTTCATCATTGTTCAGCTTCTGTTTTTAGACTCGGGACGTTGTAGTTTTCAACTTTATATGTAGGAGTAGGAGGAGTAGTAGTTGTGGTTGTAGTAGTAGTATATAGTAAAAAGTGAAAGTAAAATAGTATATATATATATATTAGAGCCCGACCGATATGGATTTTGTTGTGGCCGATATGAAACTGATATAATGGGAGTTGGCGCTGCTGATAGCCGATATAATCGCCGATATATTTAGTGATGTAAAAATTCACTGTAAATCTTGAATTGTTTAAAACACTTAGGTTTGGCTCTAGTGGATTCTAAATTGGGTTTATTTAGGCAACATTTATTGTTATTCTGACCCTTTACATCATATTTACATACAGTAGATTGGCCTAATGGCATTTCTGCATCACATTCTAGCTACTAGTGATGGGTATTCCAGTTTTTTTTTTTTTGAGAACTGGCTCTTTTGGCTCGGCTCACTAAAGCAGCTGGCTTTTTCGGCTCCCAAGCGACTCTTGAGAGTGTTTTGTTGCAAGCAGGACTAAACTAAAACTGAACCAGGACTGAAAAAGGACTAAACCAGGACTAAAACAGATTTAAACCATGTGTGAAACAGGACTAAACCAGAACTGAACCAGGACTGAGTGTCGGGACTCGGTCTCTATCTCTCTCTCTCAAGACCAAGATTAGTCCTGGTTTATTCATTTTATGCTGAACTGCAGCCAAATATGCTCCTTTTTTTTAAATCCTATGCACACGCATATTTCTGAAAGTTTCGTTTTCAGCCGCTGCTGCTGTCAAACTACGGGTCTACAAGCGGCTTGAAGAGAAAAAGTGAGAAAAAGAGAAAACACGGCTCCCAATAAGAAACATGCTCCTGTTGTTCGCTTCAAAGAGCCGGATCTAAGAGCCGCTTCGATCGCGACCGACTCATAACTCCTAGCTAGTAAACTAGCGCTATTAGCCTTTAGCCGTAAAAACGTGCGCACCGCGGTAATTAATTATATGCATAAATGTGGATCATTCACACGTCTATTCACAGCTCATTTACATATCAATGCTGGTCCAGTAACAAATATACGGACAATACAGTCACTTTACAATAGGCCAATAGAAAACAGCCTGTTTATGTGCGGGAGCTACAGCAGCTAACAGCTAACTAGCTTCAAAGTTAACATATTTCCAACACTCACCGCTCACACAGGCTCCTCCTCACATCACAAGTCTGCACTAATAAAAGTCCTTTTAATCCAGACTCAAGACGATTGTCCGTAAAAAGAATATAATCTCAGTGTTGCGCACGACTGCGGGTGTAAACAATAGCACGTGAGTGAAGTGACGTCACTCTGGGGGTGTGTTCAGGGACAGTACAGACACAGACAAATTACACCGCAAATAAATACTGATGCGGAGCCACATATTAGGACATTTATCTGTCTGTAAATTGGATTATATGAACATAATGTAGAGAGTCTAAGATTTATAACGAGGTATAACATGCCCACGTGAAATATCGGCCCATATCAGCAAGCATATCGGCCGATAGCCGATATGTCTCCAGGTGCCCATATTGGCCGATAATATCGGCCAGCCGATATATCGGTCGGGCTCTAATATATATATATATACTTTTTTTTTTTTTTTTTTTAAACCAGGGACTAAACCAAGACTAAACCAGGACAAACCTGGACTGAACCATGGATAAAACTAGGAGTAAACCAGGGACTAAACTAGGTCTAAAATAGGGACTAAACCAGGACTGGACCAGAACTGGACTAAACCAGGACTCTCTTACTTGTTCTGATTCAGTTCTAGATCATTCTAAATTTATTTCTGTCCTGAGAATGGGACTTTTTTTTTTTTTAGTATCGATACCTGCAAAAAATACTTTGATACTGTTTTTAAAATCGATTAGTGTCTGATTTTACTTTTGACAGCCCTAACCCTGAGCAGTAGTAGTAGTAGTAGTAGTAGTAGTAGTAGTAGTAGTAGTAGTAGTAGTTGTAGTAGTAACAGTAACATGTTTTGTAAGTGGGCCACAGCGGTGAGGAAGCAGCTGTGCGTTCGGTGAAACAGGTTTGTGTGTTTTGTTTGTTTTGGTTTGAGTCTTTTGTGGAACAGTTGTAGACTCGGGTCGTACTGAGCATGTGCGGAGGATCAGGGCTCTGGATGTGTCCGGGCATGTCACCAGAGACCAGAGACGAGGGCGGGGACAGAGATGACGTCACACACTCTGCTCTACTCAGAGGGATGGACTTTAACTCAGTGTCCCTGTGTGTCAGATGCCCTCCCTGTGTCTCTGTGGAGTCTGTGTAAAAGCTGCTCACAGTCCTCTACAAACATGTTCTGAAATACTATTGATTCTTGGTTTAATACAAATTCCAGCAGTTCAGATTTCAGCTTTCTCTCTCATTTTCAAGCTCCTGAACTAAACTTTTAGAAATATTTTGAAGATTAATTGCAAATGTAAAACAATCTTGCAAAATAAGTCTGAAAAAATGAGGTAAAATTAGGTATTTTCCAGAGTTGTTCAGCCGTAAATCACCTGTGTTCAAGTCTCTTTGGTGACTCACTCATGTCTCATTTCATTCCTGTGGTGTCCTAAACTTGTTATATGACTTTTTTATCAGCAAGACGTTTTTAAGTAACACAAAAATCCACAAGATCGGAATAAAGGAGTTTAGTTTGATGTGTCAAGAAAATGTCGTTCCTTAAAGTCTTTTTAAAGGTGTACTGTGTAACTTTTCTGGTGGAGGGTCCTCCATCTGCTTTTCTCCATGGAGATGTTATTCCTTTTTCCGCAATGTTTCATGGTATGGTATTAAACCTTTCTATCTCCACGGAGACCAAACCAAACCAAATTCCAGGTCAGATCTGTGGAGAGGCGACCGCTCACAATCATTGACTGTAAATATAAATGGACATATCAAACGCTCAAGCTGCCGTGTTCCAAACAGGAAGTTCACATGTGGCTCTTCTGGCTCCTTCTGACTCTGGCTCTTGTGGCTCATATTGACTTACACTGGAATATTGTGGCTCTTTCTCTCTGCACCTGCTGCAGTGAGCCTTGTCATTTTATTGTAAAATGTTTGTTTTAACCCGCTCTGTATGGTCCTGGTGTTTTTGGTTTGGTTTTTTTTCGCTGTTTTGTTGGTCAAAAAAATCCTGTTCATAATATGGAGCCTGGCTCCAGATTCTCTCCTGTAACCGTGAACATCGCGAGCTTCATTTGAGTGACACTGAACACTGTGGGTCACGTCACACTCACTTCAGAGGCGGTGCTATCATTAAGCAAAAGGAGACAGCTGCCTGGGGCCTCTAAACCTGTAGGGGCCCCAACCAATTACCCTCAGTGCCACGAATGTTCGAGGCCTCAGAGTAATTTGATTTTCTCTCAATATGACATTTAATAAAAGTAGTTTACTTTTACACAATAATCATAAGAAAAATAAGAATAAGTAATGGATGCAAAAATTTAATTGAACTAGTAAAAAAAAAAAAAAATACTACTTTGAGTTCTGGTTATATAGTAGGCGACCAAACTAATAAGACAAGTTTACAATCCACCATGTTCATGTCTCAAGAACAATGGGGAAAACAGACACTAAATATATTTAAAAAACAAAACAAAAAAAAAACGGTGCATTATAGTGAAGGTTCCAAACTCAAGTTCACCTAGGGCCCCCAAATTGCAAACTTGGACAGTACAGTCTATGAGCCAAACTCATGGATAAGTCTCTCCAAGTTCAAGTCAGTTGTGGTTTGGTGTAAATTGTAAATTGTGAACCTGTGCTCTGTGTCTCTTGATGAATGAAGTATTTATCTTTTTTTCTTTCATGACCTCTGACCCTGCTCTCTCTCTCTCCCTCGTGTTCCAGCGGAGTGGCCTAAGACGATGACGGGCCTGCCCAGCACGTCGGGCACCACGGCGAGCGTGGTGGTGATCCGGGGCGACCGCATGTACGTGGCTCACGTGGGAGACTCCGCCGTGGTCCTCGGTCTCCACGACGACGCCTCTGTGCCGTTCGTCCGGGCGGCGGAGCTCACGCAGGACCACAAACCCGAGCTGCCCCGAGAGAGGGAGAGGATCGAGGGGCTGGGCGGCAGGTACGGCCCTGCACCTGTCACGATCACTACGGACAGGTGTATTGTTCAGTGTGTGACGCATGGAAGAGTTATTTTTAGAGATCAATATTTATCTTTGTACTATTTGGGAACATTTTAACAAAAAAAAACCCAAAAAACATAATAATCATAATAATAATCATAAAAAACAAATAAATAAACATAAATATATATAAATAAATAAAATAAATACATGTAAATAAATAAAAACATAAATAAAAATAAATAAACCTGTGAATATATATAAATAAAAAATACCATAAATAAAAAAAACACATACATAAAAAGAAATTTAAATAAAGACATATGAATAAATACATAAAAATAAATTGGAAATATGCAAGTGAGTAAATAAAATGTTTGCATATTGGATTTCAGGTTTTTTTTTTCCCTGTAAGTTTTATCAAATGTTTACACTCTTAAAGGTGCATTGTGTAACTTTTCTGGTGGAGAGTCCGTCAAATGCTTTTCTCTGCGAACATTGCTTTGTCTGGAATGTTCCACAGTGTGGCATTAAACAGCTCTACCTTACATTTATTCAGTTACAGGCGGTTTTAAAGGACCACTTTCTACTAATTCCTTTGTCGTTTAGTCCAGTGGGTCCCAAACCTTTTCTCTCAGGATCCATATTTTACTTTTGGACACACTTGGAAACTCCACACAACTTTCTCCTACCTGATAAGCTCCAGTCTTTGTCTTTTCAGGACAAATCAAATTAGTTAAAGATGTTTTAGAACATTAATGATTCTAAAAAATATGAAATATAAATACAAATATAAAAAAATATATTATAAAATGCTTACCAGATGCAATTCAAATGTCATTTCCTTATGAATTGGTACAGTTTAGTTTGGACCTCTTTTTATTTCTGTCCTCCTTTTGGATCATTTTTGTTTAGATTTACAGTGGAGGTGATGTAGTCCACATTTAGTCCTGGTTTAGGCCAAGTTTAGACCTGGAATAGTCCTGTTTTAGACCTGGTTTGGATCCGGTGGTACTTGGAAAACCAGATCCTTTCTTCTGTTGCATTGTGCTTCAAAAGTTTGTTTATCAAAAATCCTAAGAACTAAATATGTGTTTTAAATTAATGTAAATGAACTCGTGTTTGTGTCTGATGTTTTTGTAATGATGGGTTATGATTAGATGTAGAGAAGGTTTCAGTGGACGAATGAGAGAATACACTGATTGGTTGGTCTTTTACAGCCGTCCTTTTATTTGTCAAACTGAGCAGACTCTGAAGACCTTTTAAACCTGCTGTTGTGCTCCTCCTCCTCAGTGTGATAAAGAAGTCTGGGGTGAACCGTGTGGTCTGGAAAAGGCCCAGACTGTCCCACAACGGCCCCGTGAGACGCAGCACCGTCATCGACCAGATCCCCTTCCTCGCCGTGGCCCGAGCTTTAGGTAAACGAACACTGTCACTCTGTTTGTACTGATGCTTTTTATCTCTCATAAATACAGGTAGATCTGTTTAAAAAAAGGCGCGTGTCAGAGGCTCTGGATAAACTGTGTAAATATAGTACATCAGTGCCCTCTAGTGGCAACAACAAAAATGCATTTAGCCTCAAAAAAACTAAACTTTGGCCCAAACATTAAAAGGTGGACTGTGCAACTTAGAATAGAGGGTGATGGTACCGAATGTTCCGTAGTATGGCATTAAACATATCCGTCTAGCATTTAGTCGTTACATGTGTTTCTGTTGCTCAGAAATACAATAATTGCTCGTAATAAATAAAGATAATAATAAATCTTTATTTATAAAGCACAAAAAAAACCCAAAGTTTGTAAAATGCTGTACAAGCAGCAAAGAACAACACAAAAAGCAGAAAAATTTGCTGAAAATATGATGCAAACAACCCAATAAACTAATAAATAAATAAAAATAAATAGAATAAAAATAAATATGGGATAAAATCAAGCTAAAACCATTTAAAGGAAGGTCAACCGATAAAATTTGGTTTTATAAAGTGATTTAAAAGACGATATTGATGGTGTGAGCCTTATCTCCTCATGCAGGTCGTTCCAAAGCTTAACCTTATATGAATAGCAGCGATTCTCCATAGATCTGAACTGTAATGTTGTAATGAAGTGTAGTGCTGTAACCTGCTCGTCTCCCTCTTGACAAAAAGGTGGCGGACCATTCACTGCAAATATTACGCAGTGCACCTTTAAAGAAAGTGCTATTATTTTGTATAAAACCACAGAGGAAGTGAGAGCTTCAGGGCGTCTTTGTAGAAATCCACAACAGGTGCTCCTCAGAGAGTGAAGATGATCAACTTGTAATGTAAAAATCTGACTGTGACAAAGTAAAAAGCTGTTAAAAAGTCTGACACACTCGATCGGAATTAGAATAAAAGTCTTATAATGCGACGTGCCAATGTGTTTCGACACACGTGGGGTCTTTATGTATTTATAAGCCCTTGAAATGAGTCTCCAGATTTGATATTAGTTTGAGTATCAGTTACTGTCTGATTTCCAGAGGTCACAGAGCTCCGTCAGTGTTAAAGTGTTGTATTTATTTATGTTCACTTGGCAAAAAATACAGAATAAGGTATTTTATACAATAGAATGTGGCGCAGTGTTTCTCATAGATTTCAGACTGTGGTGGTACAGATACTTTCTAGTTGAATCATTTTCTTGCATACAATTTGTGGAGTTTAAATGTCACTTATTGTATTTAATTTTTAAACCGTCTTTTTGGTTATTTTTCTGGAATCTCCATTATATCACACAACAGGCTGTATCAGGGCTGCAGCACATTACTTTTAGGCCGAAGGGATAATACAGATGAAGAAGTTACATGTATATATGCTTGACATACGTAAGGGTCCAGTCAAGTGTTAATGGAGGGAAACAGGGGCAGAGTTTTGACATTCAAATGTCTTATTCAGAAACTATAGGAACTATTGAAATAAGTAAAGTATCAGAATGTAGGAAAGAGTTACACTCCAACAGGGTCAAGTTAAACCTGTGAGATTCTTTCAAGTTGTTGACAAAAAATTTAAAAAACTCATGTCGGTAACGGAGGGAATGAAATATGCAGCACTTTTTGGTCAATAAATCCAAACAGTGATAACTCTTGGTTCTCACTTACATATCCTTAACAAACTGGTTTGAATATTTGCTTCATATAGTTTTCTACCATATGGTACAAGATTAGGTTGAAAAACCTCTTACTTTTTGACTCATGAGATTTTTTATTAAGAAAGTTCATGGTAACGGAGGGAAAAGTAACGGAGGGAAAATTGTACAAACAAGTAGAAGGTGCAGGATTTTACATCATTTGTCGCTTTTTTCTTCCGAATACTTTAATATTACTTCAAAATGAAAGGAAACTATTTCTATAAAATATGTCAGTCCTTCCAAGCAAATTTTTATCATTTTAAATAAATTTTTTTTGAAAAAACATGTACCTTCATCAACAGTTCAAAGATGGAATAACACAAGATATGATGAAATACATCCGTTTATTTACATGATTTTTGCAGGTCTTTGAAATTTGGTAAAAATAATTTTTGTTCCATGTTTCATACATGGTCTGTTTAAAAACATATGGAACTTTAGAACCAAAAATGGTACAGAAAAAAGGTCAACAGTTTCATAAACTAGAGTACATATGTATCTGTTCAATACATTTTTATATCAGATGCATTAACTTGAATTTTTGGCCTTGTTGTTTACTTCTGCTTGACTGGGCCCATATAGTAAAGTGCACTCCATAGCAAAAATAAATAAACAATAAATTAAAACAGTCAAAGTGCATGTGGCAAGCCTTCGTGACGCCCTAATTTCCACGTAATTTAACCTGTTACAAATACGAATAATTTCAATACTAAATAAAAAGGCCACATCAATACCACATCAATACCACATCAATACCACATCAATACCACATCAATACCACATCAATACCACATCAATACCACATCAGTAGAATAATTGATTGCAGTCAAACCTGTCACGGGCATTTCAATCTTTCTTGATATTCTTCTCAAACTTTCCCTGTCTCTCTCTCTCTCTCTCTCCTGCTGCAGGTGACCTGTGGAGCTACGACTTCTTCAGCGGGGAGTTCGTGGTCTCTCCGGAGCCCGACACCAGCGTGATCGTCCTGGACCCGAGGAAACACAGATACATCATCCTGGCCAGCGACGGGCTGTGGAACATGGTCCCGCCGCAGGAGGCCGTGACGCTCTGCCACACCCACGACAAGAGCAAGGTGAGGAAGAAAAATTGTAATATTTTATGTTTTTTTCTGTCTTAAACATGTGAGAAACAGAACTAGTCCATTTGAAACAGTTTGCAGTCGTCCAGAGTTCTTCCTCACTCCAGAGTTCTTCCTCACTCACCTTCTGCATTCATTATTCACCACGATGAGTTTATAAACACTTATTGATATTATAAACTGGAAAAATGTGTGTCGCTTAGGAAAGATCAGTAAAATGACATAAACAAGGCCAGAGAGAAGGGGGCACGTGGAGGGAGGAGGGGGACGTTCCTGCTGAGAGAACGGGCAGGTATTTCCTTTAACGAATACCGGCTCAAGTGTCCCCGGGTGCCCCGTTCTCTTGGGCGGCACACGGGAAACTGCTGCGCCTGGGAGAGAGAGGGGGGATGATCTCGCCGCCACATCACTGTGATGTGTTGAATTAGAAAATGAGTTAGAAAAGCATTTTATATCATTAAAAAATGAAATGTGAATGTACCAGACCAAATGTCGGGCCTTGTTTATGTCATTTTACAGATCTTCCTGAAGCAGAACACATTTTTCCAGTTTGTAATATCAATATAATCTTCATTTGCTCGCAGAACTTTACTATGAAATCATATTTTAAATCATTTCTTCTTGTTCCCCATGTCCTACCGCCTCTGTAACTGTTGATTTGGAAAGAAATACTAATTACTTCCTTACCTGCTGCCATGAACATAATTTGTAAGCAGAACAACAAAAGAATCATTCAGAATCACTTTTAGGAAGCTCTTAATTGTGTATTTCATTAAAATATATCAGATAAAATCCTGAAATAGACAGCGGGACTTTCCAGCTGATTTTCTGTTAAAGGGCCTGTAGACAATTTTCCACATGTATTTGAGTAATATAAATATAAATATAAATATGTCTAGCCCCAGTACAGATATAATGTATAAGCAGCTCTTGAGGTCAAAATAAGCCCTCTGTGCACCATCTGCTTGTTTATTGTTTATTTATCAGCTGTACCCAAGGGCCTGCTAGTCTTCCTGGGGTCCTGTATTTAAAAGCTACAGAAACTCAGAAAGCTACAGAATTTGTTCAAAAATCATTCAGAATCACTTTTAGGAAGGTCTGTATTTTATTCAAATATGTAAAATAAAATCCTGAAATAGTTGTGGCATTGAGAGCACAGGAGTTTCTGAGTCAGTGTGTCTCACCTGTGGAGTAATTTAACACTCTGTATTTACTCTATTTTGGCATGTTTTGTTTGTATTTGTGAACAAATGTGTTGAGATATATTCTAACTTGTGTGTGTAATTAATACAATATATATAATGGATTTTATTTATATGTACATAGATGAACTAACTTTGATAAAGGGTACAATTCAGGGGGACTTTCCAGCTTTAAAACGTTAAGAATACAAAGAATACTTGTTGTTACCAGAGGAGCAGGTTGATATGTGGCTCTGACCCTCGCCTCTGTCTCTGTCTCTCAGTCCGTGCGCAGTGTGTCGAGCTCTCGGCAGCTCGTCTCTCTCTCGCTGCTGCGCTGGAGGCAGAGGATGCTCCGGGCCGACAACACCAGCGTGATCGTGATCAGCCTCGCCTGCCCCGGGGCCGAACAGAACCCCCTGAGCCGGGACGAGGTTCTGCTGGACCTGAGCCAGAGCGGACCCCAGACCAGAGCGCACACACCTCTGCAGCAGGTACACGAGAGAACGAGAGAAGTCTGTCACACGTGTCTCTGTGGACAAGACGGGAGTGTTCTGCGCCGCGTGTTTTAAGTGGGAATAAAAACGTAAACTCCGCCCACAGCCACATTTCAAATAGAACCTCTGTTTAAAATGTGGTTGTGGATGGAGCTTGAGTGGGCACCAAACTGGGCACTACCTGGACGATTAAAGGGCAGAGTGAGGAGGGGGTCTGGAGGTAAAAAGGCCAACGCACACTGGGACATGCAAAATTGCCGCCTCCGTTATTTTCTACGATCGTTCACGCACCGGGCGCTCGACCCCGCACGGCGATTATTGAATGGGGACGCAGGGCCGTGTCTGAAAGCACACGAGACAGTCTGCACGTGCGCGGTGAGTACAGATGTCTCTGCTCTGACAACCACAAAACCAAATGCAAATTCTGAGCAGAGCCTCAAAGCTGCAGGAGAGACAGAGAAACCGCCAGTGCAGAACACCAACTCCTCTCCCGTCTCCCTCCGCACGGGGAAACTCTCGCCTCTCACTAAACTCACTGTAACCTCTTCACGCCTCACATTGTCTCTTATTTTGTAAGTAATCTGCAGATAAAACTCTAATTGATAATACAGCAAGAGTTGTATTAAAGGTTGTATGGAGGATTGTTTTAGTTTCAAATTGTCAGTGATAGATTATAGATGCAGGAGCCTTGTAATTATGATGACCAAAAAAAAGACAATAAAAATTCATCAACTCTGGACGTGGTGGGGCTAAACATTTGCCAATAGATAACGACACTGCCTCGTTATCTGTGAGCTGACAGGCTGTCAATCAATCTCCCTACGTTTCTAGTGTAACTGACTTGCCTGCGCCGCCGGTACGTGGTTTACGTACGACTGTCACACAGTCCACAGACGCAAGACGCACAGACGCTGTTTACTCCACCAACGCAACAGTTCTTAGCGGCTTTTTTTGACCTATATCTTCCTCTCAGCACAAAGTTTGTTGCGATGGCGACAAGAATCCAGGAGCAGTTAGCCGCAAAAGAAAGTCCGTTTTTGAGATTGCTGAAAGAAGAAGACAAGGGGAAAAGCAGTGAAGCCAAACTAAGGTGATTCTTCCAGCGATGGCGCAACTGAAGCAGACGAAGGGTCTAAAGACTGACGCACTGGTCCACAAATTACTCCTGGACAGGAAACTTCTGCTTATTATGAAAACGTACTTTATTTCCAAGAGTTAGACAAACGTTTTTCAGGACACGAATGTGATATCCTATGTCTGAAAACGTAATTTTCAAGGCAAAGAAAGAGTCCGCTTGCTGCTGCGTGTTGTAGCTAGTTCATTCGCACTGAATCTCCGCGCAACCTTCTCTGCTCCCCTTTCCTGCTCCTGTCCCCGCTGCCCGTTCCGCTCTTCCCCCTTCTCCTCACTTCTCCGGGCACGGAATCTCCGCGCACCGCTCCCCTCTCTCTTCTCTCCTCTCTCCTCTCCCTGCTCCTCACTTCTCGTCCGCGCACGAAATCTCCGTGCACCCGCTCCCCCCGCTCCTCACTTCTCCGTCTTGCTTAACCAACACTGTAGTTAGTTGTTTACAAGTCATGTGCAGCGCACCGGCTGTGGAGGAGGGAGGAGCTGTTTCTACGTAGGAGCTGTAGGGGAGGGGGGGTGGTTTCACGCATGCGCAACATTTGAAAAAGGACAAACAGTCGCTGGATTTCTCGTTCCTTGGAAAATCCTCTATACAACCTTTAAAGAGGTAGGGACGGGCATTCGATGAAATTTTGTTAATCGATTGTCGGGAGAATTAACGATCAACATTTTTATATAATAAGTATCATCATTATTATTACTATTACTAATCTGCATAAATAAACTCAACTTTACGACATATAAACCATAAAGACTATAAAGCCACATCAGCCCGTTTGACATTATAATGTGTTTAATGCAGCTTTGCGCAACTCTCACAGAAACGAAACTTAAAACCACATGGCTAATTTGCATAAACTAAACGAAGAAAAAAAAAAACGCTCGTGTCGCTGATGTGGTTCAGCTTCTGTCGGACTAAAGGACACAACTCAGTGGAATATGAGTGTTTCTGTGACAGAGCGGTGTTCTGCTGATGGTGAGTCTGTTCTGTGTGTCGCAATGTTTTCAAAGATCATACCTGTGCAGGTTTAGCACGGCTCTTTATGTTTCAGTAACCGAGACGCAGATGTGCATGTAAACGCCCTCACTGAGTCGTACAGTGTCTCCAAGGAGGAGCCAGAGCCCAAACGTTGGACTGAGAGGCCGCAGCTCAAGTGTTTGTGTCAGATGCAGCTTCATATCTACGCCCAGAAACTTACATTCGGATCGTTAATTAGAAATGGACGTAATCGACGAAATTCTTAATGATCAATTATTAGTCAACTAACAATGCCCATCCCTAGAAGGAGGTACAGGAGCCTCTGTTCCCTCACCACCAGACTCACCAACAGCTTCATCCACAGGCTGTTAGGATGCTGAACTCTCTCCCCTCTATAACCACCAGGCTGACAGGAAGCACGAATCCCCAAGAACAGAACTCTCCAAAAGAACACTTGGACTCAGACCCACCCTGACTCCCCCAAAAAATGCCTTTTGTACTTTTGCACAATTTACATTTATTATTTAGTTATACACGTGAGGGAGAAACACAATTTTGCTTCTTTATATAAAATTAACAAACTTTTTTGAACTTTGAACTTTTTAAGCGCTGTGGCGTGCGGCGTTCAGTTTGTGTCGACGCGTGGATTTGACGTTCGGCAAATGACGCGGCGTGTGTCGGCCTTGAGGAACAGTGTGACTGGTTTAACGGATGTCCACACTTCAAACTGTGCCCCTGTTTGTTTTTTTCAGTGTTTATCTCAGGAACACTGCACTGTACTCAGGGCAGTGCTGTGTGATGTTACCAGCTACCGTATTTTCCGGGCTATTAGACGCGCTCTTAAGCTTCTAACTCCATCAAAAAACGTCTGCGCGCCACAATCCAGAGCGCCACATACACGAATCCACTCGGGTGTCACAGTACGACTTCAGTAAACTACAAAGCCGCAAACACACACGGAGCAGACGACAACCACGCAGAGAAACACACCCACAGACACACTCATCACTCCACGCCGACGAGGAACGGAACGGAGGAACGAACCGAAAAAGCGAGCGCAATGTGCCGCTTCTAGACACGACTGAACAACTGAGTCACTGCGAACACGCCGACAAACAAAGCCCAGAGTCACCGTGAACGCCACAAACAAACAAAACCACTCACCCATCCAACTGTTGGGTTTCCTTTAAAGTCCCACACGGTTTATTTGTGAAAAAAGTTCCTAAATAGACCATTTAATGACAGTGCGTCTTATAATCCAGAGCGACTAATAGTGCGGAAAATACGGTATTTAAAACAGGAGGCAGCACAACTCAATTTTTGTCCAGAAATCTGCAAATTTCTGACTAGGACAGTAGATAATATGATTAACACAATGTCCACAGTTTATCCGCTAATTTCCTGTTCTGTTCACAGCCGTCCACAGATGAAGACTCGTCTCTCTCCTCCGTCTGTGACTTCTTGCCGTCTCTGGATCGATGCGACGGTCTCTCGGGCGACACGAGTCTTTTCTACGCCGACTCCTCGCCCTCCTCCCTCTCCTCCCCCTCTTCCTCCCCGTCCTCCTCCTCCCCCCCGCGCTCGGACTGGGCCGAGTCTGACCCGCCCGGACCCCAAAAACGGACCAAACTCCGGCGCGACGGAGCCGACTCGCCGGAGCGTTCGCCCAAAGCGTCCAAGCGCAGGACAGTGGACAGGACGCCGTTATCCCAGCACAACCCCGAGGAGAAAACCAAAGACCAGAACGTTTCAAACCTTCTGCACAAGACCACAGTGTGCGTGTGCTGAAAAAGGGACGTTTTATTCGACAATTCACTGCAATAAATAATTATACCAACATGAGTTAAAATAAATTCAACTTTACACTAAAACAAAAGTGTATTTAGAAGCAAAGTAGGGTCAGTCCGTCTTGAAGGATGAGCCATCTCAGATTTGGCTGAAAAAATTCATAAAAATTAAAAAATTACCAAATGAAAGAAACTGAATGAATACAATTTTAGCTCAGTCCCTTGAGTCGTTCCTGAGTTGTGGCCCGATGAAATTTTGGGGCCTTGCTCACTTTTTTGGAAGCCTTAATTTATAAGCATGTTTGAGAGACCAGAACTTCATAAAAAATTGAGCTAGGAAGCTGAAAATTTGCATGATTGTAGCTTCTTGGTTGTAGATTCTGAATCTGTTGTCAAATATTGTGTATCTTTATTAAGGGGGCTGCTGTGGGCCTCTAAGATTTATTTATTCCAAGCAGATATTTACAAACTAACTGTTAAACCTGAATATTTGAGAGAATGACCATTTCTGACAACAATCTCACACTTTTCTGAACTTTCATGTGGACAGTGTAGAGTCCCAAATATAGTCACAGAACAAATGTGATCTTTTTGGCCCCTTCTTTGGACTCTCAGTTCCCCATGTGGACACAGTTAGACGTTGATCAAATTTTTACCAGAGAAACTTTGGTATATTCTGGCTAGTTTAAAAAAACATCTACTATTAACTTCCTTCATTTCAAACGGAATTTTTGAAAATGAGCTCTCACGGGTCATTTTTGGTGGAGCTTAGGGACTTTTCCACCTCGAGCAAGATTAAATTACCTTTATTTGCCATAAACACTAACTGCTTGTTATAAGGGAAGACAAAAAACAGATTTCATTTGGTGATTTTAGAAATTTTTTGAATTTTTTTCAGCCAAATCTGAGATGCTCATAGGGAAGGGCGGCTGATTTCATATGGACTGACCCAGTAGCAAAAAAACTTGAATCTCCCGATACAAAAACTGGTTTGAAAACTAGATACTGATTTAAAGTATCGATACTGAAAGAAAATGTGAGATTTTTTATTATTATTATTTTTACTTGTGAGACGAAGGAGCTCATTGGTCACTCATTATTTTGAATACTTGATCAGCTTTATTTCTAAAGTATTTAAAACCACTTTAGAGCTGGCCAAAGTGCTGTACACAAACATGGAATAGACAAGGACATTCGCAGTCAAAGTCACAATAAAACTGCTAAAAAACACAGAAAACAATAAGATATTCAAGTTAAATAACTTGAAATGAACATCTCACTTGTTAAAAGCCAGTGAAAAGAAATTAAATAAAATAAAAGTACATTTCTCTCTCCTCAGTTGGACAGAGTTTAGTCTTTCGCTCGTTGATTCTTCAGAAATCCACGATGTTTTTCCGTCCCTTTTGATATTGTCTCTTTTCACGCTTACGTCACAAACTCGGAAGACGTTTGGAAACATGCAATGACAACTTCTGGGCTCTGTTGTTCTCGGTCGTAAGTCTGACAGAATCTAGGAAAAATGAGAAATGTCCCAGTTTTCTTCAAGTCCGTGTCACTGTAGCGTTCCGTTATGTTCGGATAATCAACAATTCCAACCAACACCGAAAGTTTCATCGCTTGTTTCCAAACGTCTTCCTGGTAACGGCGACCAGAGACTATTTTTTTTTTTTAACACTATGGCCGAACCACGTGTGTCCCTGATTGGCTGATCCACTTGTCAATCAAACGAATCTGTCAGTCACACACACACATTGGTAAACTATTGGAAAAGTGTGTGTTTTGGACGTAAATTAACCATTAAAAAGTAAAAAAATGCACGTCAAATCTCCTTCCTTGACTTGGACCACGGTTTAGGGTCCGAGGTAAGATTTGACGAAGGCTTTTTGCCGAAACATTTAGAAACGGAAGGAGCTTTTGAGTGTGCTGTGCATTTTTAAACTTTTTTGTCACTTCTCATTGCGTTTGCACGTCTACACGAAATTTGAACAAAAGTAGACCATACCTGGATATTTTTATATACAAAAATTATACTCTATGTAGTATGTTGTTTTTATTTTTTACGGGAACGAAATTTCTCGCTCCACTGTCAGGAAAAATATATTAGAGCCAGTCAAAATATATGTAGCATTATCTATATATAAAGGTCTGACATAGTTAAAAATGAATTAAATGAAGATGAAATTCCAGTTTTACTCATGTTGGTGTGTAATATTTGCAGTTTGAAGTAGCATTTATGTCATTTTTTTAAAATTGGTTTTAAAGCTCGGGCCTGTACGACAAAGCAGGGTCGTAATAATTTCCAATAATTTTATGAATTTCGATGTATTTTGAAACCACTAAATCTGCTTTGTTGTACACAGCCCTCAGTTTTTTGTTTTTTTTAATGTCTGTTAATGTGTGTTTGAATTTAGAGGTCTCATAATGTGCGTTACTTTAAACGAAAATACCAAAAAAATGAAACAAAACAAAATTAACCAACTGTGACAAGTTTACTATAAAAAATAAATAGTATAGATGTATTTTGATAACTTATTTGGACCATACGGGCTCTGAAACACATATGAAAATACTTTAAAGTGGCATTATTAAAGCCTCAATATGTAACCTTTTTGCCAAACAATGGACTAAAACTAAACCGTGTTTTTAAAAATGTTGCTTGTGTTTATTCATAAGCGACATTTTGAGGATTTTTCTCCATTCAAAACATGGGAAACTGTGTTTTAAATATCTAATCGCTATGGAAACAGTGTTATATTTGGGCCCGACCGATATAGATTTTGCTGCGGCTGATATGATGCCGATATAATCACCGATATATTTATTGATGTAAAAATTCACTGTAAATCTTGAATTGTTTAAAAAACTTAGGTTTGGCTCTGGTGGATTTTAAATTGTGTTTATTTAGGCAACATTTATTGTTATTCTGACCCTTTACGTCATATTTACAGACAGTAGATTGGCCTAATGGCATTTTTGCATCACATTCTAGCATGTAAAGAAAGTAAACTACCACTATCAGCCTTTAGAGGTAAATGCGTGTGCTGTAATGATGCGTAAATGCTGATCATTCACACCTCTATTCACCGCTCATTTACATATGAACGCAGGTCCAGTAACAAATATACGGCCAATGAGAAATAACCAAAACCAGCTTCAAAATCGACACATTTCCAACACTCAGCGCTCACACAGGCTCCTCCTCACATCACAAGTCTGCACTCATAAATGTCCTTTTAATCCCGACTCAACCCGATTGTCCGTAAAAAGAAAATAATCAGAAACAGACAAATGACTCCGCAGATAAACACTGATGCGGAGTCACATATTAGGACATTTATCTGTCTGTAAACTGGATTAAATGAACATAATGTATAGAGAGTCTAAGCTTTATAACGACGTATAACATGCCCACGTGAAATATCGGCCCATATCAGCAAACATATCGGCCGATATGTTTCCAAGTGCCCAGATCAGCCAACCAATATATCGGTCGGGCCCTACTTAATATTTCATTGTTGTTCTGAAACCCATGGATAATACGAATAATATAAGAAACTGAAAAACTGACAAACCTGACTCTCCAGAAAGTTACCTACTCTACCTTTAAACGAAATTGTCAAAGAAGACTTTAATAATACAAAAATTCGTACATATTCTCTATTTAGAAGTTTTCAGTCACCATATTTAAATATATATTTGGTTAAAAGTATATTTAAAAAGTCTCAGTGTACAAATTTAAACATGAATCTGACTTGTCAACTCTTAAAATAATACTTATAGTCCTCGAAAAAAACACGGTTAAAGCTCAAACTAACGTAAACTTGGCATAATATGGGACCTTTTAAATGTCTTATCAACATAATTTCCTCAAAACGATGGGTGGTGTGTCTTATTTTTCCTGTCTTTAATACTGGTGTTGTAAATGATATGGATTTTATAACCTTGAGTAGTAGGTTTTATGACAAAGTTATATTTTTATACGCCTTTCAGTGTACAGGAAACACTTTGCCAAATACCTCCACACACGGACAGTCTCCTTCATATTTACGGTGCGATATGTTCTGTTTAAGCGTCACGCCCCTTGTACTCTGACTGCAGGTGCGGTGCGATTCGTGGGTCCGGGGTCCCGCAACACTTAAAAAAAAAATAAAATCAGACGCACCCTGCCTCACTGATCTCAACGAAAGAATCCAAAAGAAGTGTGGGTAACACGTTATAATAACTACACCTTATTTAGCCTTAATAAAGCATGAACAAAGACTTAATTAATAATGATTCACGCTTAGTAACTACTTAATTACTACCTGAATTAGCACTGAATTTGCACTTAATTTACCTGTGTTGTAAATAGTTACTCATAAGTATTTCTTACTTAATTACTCATGAACTAACCATTTGTGTGTGCATTTGTAAATGTATATTTAAGTACAAATTTGAGCATTTATTAATGATTAGTAAGCCATGAGAGAATGATTTATAAGTAATGCATTATTGTTTCTCTGGAATTTGACCGACCTTAACAAATGCTTAATAAACATAATTAGTCTTCACTTTAGAAAATCTCTCAGAAAGACTTAACTAACAGATAACAGCTGCCTGAATTATCATTGCATTACATTATTAGTAAATCATTCTGTCATAGTTTACTAATGATTAATAAATGCTCAAATGTGTACTTAAATATGCATTTGTAAACATGCAAATGGTTAGTTCATGAGTAACTAAGAAGTATTGAGTAACTATTTACAGCACAGGCGAAATTAAGTGCAAGTTAAGTGTTAATTCAGGTAGTAATTAAGTAGTTACTAAGCATGAATCATTATTAATTAAGTCTTTGTTCATGCTTTATTAAGGCTAAATAAGGTGTAGTTATTATAAAGTGTTATCAAAGTGTGGATTTTCGCCGGACAGCGCAGCGATCTCTGACGTGAAGCTGACAAAATGTGAGCAAAACGGGAAATCAGACGCAGAGAACTGATAGATCCGGAGTATTTTCAGAATAAAATATCCCTGCATGCTTCCGGTACTTCGCAGATTTACCCAGTGTAGATCGGCACGGTATCCAAAAGCGCGAGAAAATGGTCGGCTTTTGTTTACTAGGGCGGGTATTATTCAGAAGTTGCCGATACGATACATATCTCGATGTATTTCAAGTCGATTCGATACAGTTCAATAAAAAATAAAGTCTAAATCATGTCCGTGATACTAAAAGTCTTTGTTAAATCACTTCTTGTGCAAAGTTCACATGAAACACAAACATTTTAATCATCAAAACAGTGAAAATGTCAAATGTGTCAAAGAAGTGATTTAACAAAGACTTTTAGTATCACAGACATGATTTAGACTTTATTTTTTATTGAACCATATCGAATCGACTTGAAATACATCGAATCGAAAGTGCACTGTATCGAGATAAACTGTAGAGCTGTGACAAAATAATTTTGTAAAATATACCAAAAAATACTCTTGGTGATATGTCGATAAAGCAGCCCACGATATCGATACTGTATCATCACATTGAACGATGCAATTTATCAATATTTCGATATGTTTGCACAGACCTACCGTTTACCAAAAGGTTTCTTGTACGTGGAACTCCCGACTACAGCGTGAATCTCCGCAAGCACGTTATCTCAGGAGCGCAGTCGCAAGTCGCAGTAAAACCCACCGGACCCGAACCGCACCTGCAGTCAGTGTCCACCAGGGGTCAGAACGCCGGCTCGGTCATACTTTATGGTGCTGCTCTGGTCATAGTTTGTAGCGATGGGAAAATGTTTGTGTAGCTGTTTATAATGACATTTTTGTGTTTTGTTTAACGGTGCGTTGTGTATCTTTTCTGTTGGAGGATCCGTCGCCTGCTTGTTTCTATGGATACGTCATGGCTCTGTCTGGAATGTTCCACAGTGTGACATTAAACAGCTCTACTTAACATTTATTCGATTACAGGTGGTTTTATCGCGCAAAAATACCTTGAAAAACAAACATTCTGAGGTACCGTCCAC